TCTTTTTTGTTATTATATGAAGTAGCATTTTTAATCTTGTGAAATTCAAAAATTTTGTACAATATATTAGATAATTTTTTAATGTTAATACCATTAAAGCGTTATATTTTATTTTTCATTATCGTGGAGTTTAAATTTTTTTTTTTCCATTGAAAAGGATTGGCTTCAATTTCATTAACCAAAAGCCTACATAACGAATCAAGCCATTAACAGGAGCATCTAAAACGAATCCCTTTTTGGGTTTGTAGATTTTACAGTTTTTGTTTAAACCAATTTATTCAAAGTTAAACAGAAATGAAGATAAATGCTTCAATGGAAGTAAGGAATGAGATCAACATAGTGCATGCTGCATTGAAAAACTAATATGAAAGTATATAACACTACACTACCCTTTATTTCGTGTTCACATCTTTCACTTCCCACATGCTTGCTAAGAATAAGACATATGTATATGTCAGAAACATCTGAGGAGAAGAGCCAAACAGAGAAGGGAATTTTAAGATGTTTAAATATGGATTAAACATCAGCCTTGTTTCTAAATTGATTTTTGTAAAACAAAATTACTGAAGAAAACCAATCCTAATATGAGTGTAAAAAATTTTACATTCTCTCAGAATTTTTTTTTTTTTTTAAGTAGTAAGTATTTGCATAAGCAGAGATAAATGAGTTAAAAGTTTACAAGCATGCATCAGAGCTCAACCTGCCTTCATTTGCTTTCAGGTCTGATGTCATTATCACCAGCAAATTCAAGACCATAGGACCAAGCAACTGGGTCCTGTAATTCTGCTATGAAGTATAGCAAATAATTCCCTTTTCAGACTCTGAATTAACATTCTTAAAGCTAGTTTGACTGAATAGACACGGCCACTTCATTGTAGCTGAGCGGTATCAAGAATCAGCTGCGCACTATGCTAGCACTCTCAGCAGCAATCTGGTTGGGATTTTGTTGATTCTGGAGATTCAAACCTGATGTTACTGGTGCTGCTTTGTGAGTTTGTGGAGGTATGTAAGCCTCTGTTGCAAGATGTGAACCAGGTGAGCCACGAACAGGCTGTTGATCGCTTTGAGGAAGCAAAAGGGGTTTTGCAGTTGGGTTAGAGGGGTAAAGAACTTGAAGTCCCACAGGCCCAAATTGTTTAAGCTTAGCAGTGTGTTTTTCCCCAGAAAGATGGCAGTCAAAAACATCTTGAGTATCACACTTCACATTGCACAGGTCACAGATAAGAGGAATTACAACCTTTCGTTTGCAAGGTCCAACTTTCAGCCTTGGAGCTTCTAAACTTTTCGTGCACTCTCCTTCCTGACCACCTTGCATCTTCCTCTTCATTCCAAGCCTCTGGCTGTCAAAACAATCAATCCTAGGAGTTTCTTCCACAAAGGCTGCAATATGTTTCTTCTCTCCATTAATCTGTTGTATAGGCTCCACAGAATTTTCAACACCAACAGATTCTACTGGCTTTTTCTCCTCATTTTCTTGGGCACTGTTGAGCTGCTGAGTTCCTTCATTCTCAAGCTTGGCTGTAGGTTTCTTCCCATTCTGTTTTTCCATCCCAGGTTTGACAGCAATCTTTGACTCTTCATTTTTCTGCAGGTTCCTTTTATGCCTCTTTCCATTCTTGTGTTGCTCAAGGATTTCCAAACTGGTGCACTCAACCCTGCAAAGCGCACACCATGCACCCTGTGGTGGCCGTCTGCTTGAACGAACTTTCTCCACCATCGGTATAGACCGAGATGCCTTGGGAGGCACTGCAGTTTGAGCAGTTTCTTTAGGTAAAACAGCCAGGGGTTCTGATTTATCTGTAGATTTTATATTCTCATTGTACGGCTCTTGCTGTGAGGCTGATGATGCTCCATGTTGTTTGAAGCATTGAGGACCACCTCTGCCCTCACCACTTCCTGTTTCATGGTCACCAGTCTTGGGAGAGCACTGGCCAATATATCCCCTGCCATGACGTCTGAAGGATCTAATGCCTTCTCTACCACCACTATTATATGGAGACCCACTAGCCTGCAAAACAGGTTCTAAAGGTTTTCAAGAACATAAAGAATCAGTCGAGCCAATGCTCATTACTTAAAGAAGGATAAATAATGTTTAAAGTCATGGGGAAAAGACCTACACAAATCAAGATTAATTAACAATGTATTCATCATAATAGATATGATTAAGTAAGAAGCATAAATTTCTTCATGTCTTAAATGGTTGCTTGATCCAACATGAACAAAAAATGGCGTCACAGAGCATTACACAGCAGCTTTTGATGGAATTCCAAACATAATGGTTTTCACTTTTCAGAAAGTAAAGTGGAGGATGAATTACAGTGGTGATTTAACTTCTCTGAATTCATCAAAAAGAAATTAACTTCTGTGGAAGAAAGATTCTCATGGTCAGTTCCTCACAATATTTCAACCACCCTAGACTCTATGATGATATTTGTATAAATGACTTCCTAATGTGCTGATATTCACCAATGATAAAGTCTTTTTACCTTTGTGGGACAAAAATCTGCAGTTACAATTTTTCTATCAACAGTGCATTTGAAAATCACTCCTTAAGTTCACCAAGAAAGAATAGTCTAGAATTCAAATTCACTGACATTTTTACTTAACCATAAGAACACAGGTCTAAATATTTGCAATGGCAAAATACAAAGCTATCTTACAAACACTTCTCAATCCCAACCAGCATGATAGAGTAATCATGCAACCCTGTTAGAATAGCATCCTCTGCCAGGATCCACACAGTTTTAGACCACATTAAACCATTGTTTCAGTTGCTAGAAACAAAACATAGAAACCAAAAAATATATATCTATTCGTTCCAAAGCCAAAGAGGACTCCAAGAATTCATAACCATGATGAACTGACAATATAGTGGCTTCAAATTATCCTATTTGGCGAGTGAAATGATTGAGCCTACTGTTTGACATTCTCTCAAAATTCAAAAAAATTGAAGGCAACTATTAGAGATTAATTGAAAGAAATGGTCACTAGCAGTAGCAGGTTATCAGACAAGCATGCTTTCAGAAAAAGGGTCAAGCTCATAATTGGCTTATTAGACTCGGCTAAAGCAGAAGTTCATAGGTCAATCCAATGGTTAAGCCCCTTTTAGGAGTGCAATGGGAAGTTCACCCACTCACCCCACCGCATTGGCCCCTGCTCTGAAAGGATTTCTCAGTCTCTTATTTATTAAAAGCAGAATTCCAACCTTATCTATTCGTGCAATGCAAACACATAAGTCTTTTAACGAAACCAAGTGTAAACCAATACCTTTTTCACCTTAAGTGAGCTAACTACAAATTTCACCTAAAATTTAGCATTTCCTTCAGAACAATCTAACTCCATATTTAAACAGGTAAGTTCAAAAATGAAATTGGAGTGTAGGAAGATTACCATTTACTAAAGATGCAGTCGTCTATCACTCAACAAGGCCAAATTTTTATTCATTAAGGGTTATAAAGTCAAAAACTTTATTCCACCTATAAATGGAAACGTTTAAAGCCAAAAATAGAACTTCCATGGCTTCTAAACTCTAATACGGTACCCAATATAGTGTAAAGTTACCAAAATAAATTGTACAGAAAACGAAAAATTATTAACGAAAGAAAAAAGTAGAGGCATGATTTTTGAAAGCAAGTTATACAAATAAAAGCATGAAATTTCTAAAGAATGAAACCAGAAACAGAATAACAATTAATGAAACATAGAATCGAATAACCGTACCGGCGGCGAAGGCATTAAAGTCGGTCCATGGTGCAGCAGCGGCGCCGCAAAGTAGGGGTGCATTCCAGCCGTTGCTGTCCGCTGGAATTGCGCCAACTGCGACAGGGCAACCACTGCGGCTGCAGACACCGGGTTGAGTCCCACCTGAGCCGTCGTCCAAACAGAATCCGCAATTCGCGCTATGGTATTAACCGAAACTCCAACTGATTCAAGACTCTGCTGATGTGGCACTTGATAATAAGCGTAACCAGGAGGACCATTATAGGAATAGTAATGTTGAGGTGGTTGTTGTTGGTTTTGTTGGGGGTAGTAACAAGATTGGGTTGATTGGTTATGCAATTGTTGATGATCATGATTAGGCAGCCGTTGCTGTGATTCTGGAAGAGAAGAAGAGAGGTCCATGGATAGTATATGGACTGTTGCGTATTGGAATCGGAAAAAAAAAATATTAAAGGTTTTGGAGGATAGCAGACTTGACCCGGAGGCAAGCTTCTGGAATGAATTATAGCAGAAGGGAGAGGGCGGGCGATGGAAAGGCCAAATGGCAAAGAACAGGGAGAGGGAATTTTATGGTACAACTCCCAGAACTCCGTGCTTAGCGTGATGGCTTCTCTGGTACTGACAAGTGGAAATTTCTAGTTTTTTCCTTTTTTTTTTTAGTTTTTTTTTCTCTATAATCTGTTTATTATATTAAAATCCTTTTTAAATGGATTCAAGTATTTGTTCTAAAATAATTTTCATTAAGTAACAATCTAATAACAATAATATATATAAGCACCTAAGAATTTTGAAATGACGAAAGTAAATATATATGTTTATTATATTTTTGAATTATTATTTTAAATTTTTTATTATAAATATCAATAAATTTTATTTAATTTGTAAATAAATTTTTTATTTCATCAAAATATTTTTATTAAAAATAAAAATGAGTTAAAGTTTACATTAAATTTTTTATTTCAAAATTTTAATTTTACATTTAAAAGTAATAAATGTTATATTCTCTTATATATTCTGTACATGAGATAAGAATAAAATGTTAATAAAATAGGAGTTATGAACGAACTTGATTTATTTTATTTAATTTCAAAAAAATTATTATTATCAATAATTTGGATTTTTGGTCCAGAAACTTCGAACATTCCAAACCCATTTGGAGTTTCTGGCCCAACACGTGTAGATCCATGTTGGCCCACCATAATTTGGCTTTGGCTCAGGTTTGTTTCACTCACAGCATTGATGGGTTTTTTTTTTTTTTTTAAAGCATAAAATAAACGGTCAAGAAAAAGTATACGTTAAAAGCACAGCAACAAACGAACAGCGCAATCCAAAGCCGAGGAAAGAGTAGTGCGAAATGGCGGCTGCTGCTTTTGCACCGGTCACTCCTCTCCGGTTCAAATCCTACTCTATACTCCGTTTCCTTTCCTTCTATTCCCAAACCCTAACAACGCCTCGCCTTTTCCCGCCACTTCCTCGCCGACCCTTCCCCTCAACCATTCCTCGTAAACGATGCTTCCGCCCCGTTATTTCCCCTGCGCTGCAGTCTGGAGAAAGGGCAAAAATAGAATTCCTAGAAAAGAAAGTCGGTGAAACTGGGAATACAGTCGGCGAGTTCAGGCAGAAATTGAAAATCGCCCACATAAAAGGAGGACCCGATGAAGGTTTGGATCGGGTCGGGCAGACTCTAGTGGTTATGGGTTGGGTTCGGACTCTCCGGGTTCAAAGCAGCGTTACATTCCTTGAAGTTACAACGAAAAAAATTTTCCTTTCTTTTTTTTTTGTTTTTCAATTAATTTCTGTGGATGATATTGTTTTTATATTTTATAGGTAAATGATGGTTCATGCCTTTCAAATATGCAATGCGTGATGAATTCAGATGCTGAAGGTTACGATCAGGTACTGTCAGAACGAATAATTATGTTTAACTTTTCTTATCCATAAATTTTAATTTAAAAAATTCTTGTTTTTTCCATTTCAGTATTGATATTTTAAATTTTTTTAAAGACATTATTAATCTGTTACAGTTTCTTAGCACTTTTTTGCAGTGTGGATGCTTCATTCCTATCACATTCGATGTGTTGTGCAAAAGTGAAATTGTCTATTTGTATTTGGGGTTTATCTTTGTTGTCAATTATTTACATGTTTCAAGCTTCTAGGTGGAATCTGGCTTGATTGCAACTGGTGCATCCATATGGGTGCAAGGAATTTTGGTGGCTAGCCAAGGATCAAAGCAGAAAGTGGAATTGAAGGTTGACAAAGTTGTTGTGGTACGTTAGACTTGCCCTCTTATCTTGTTGAAGTTGATTATTGTGAAATGTAGTAGTTTATCCATCTATTTTGCCTTGAGAATTCACTCAAATGGTCTACATCAACAAACTGTCGAAGTTGCTTTGTGGAATCTGAAAATTATTATTCCTTTGGACTTAAATTTAGTAGAGAAGGAGACAATTGTTAAGTTAATACATTTTCACCCATCATGCTGCATTACACATTGCTACTTCATGATTCCTTCCCTCTTTTATCTTCAATTAGTTTTCCTCACTATCCTGTTTTCATGACTAGACTTTGAAAAATGGACAAAGAGTGTGTTATATTGCATTAATGTTACTGCATGTTCCTCCGCTGGGTTATTAAATAAGCTTCTTTACCAAATTAAAAATGATTTTTAAACTTCTAGTATAATCTTTGTACTAATTACATGCATCCTGTGTTTTTGGTAGGTTGGAAAAAGTGATCCTTCCTATCCCATTCAAAAGAAAAGCGTCAGCCGAGAATTTTTGAGAACTAAAGCTCATCTTCGTCCTAGAACAAACACATTTGGTGCAGTATGATTCTTCTGCTTGTTCATTATCATCTCTAGTTACTTTATATTGATTTATTTATACTGTTGGCATAATTTGTGCAAGGCATTATCTATCATATCTGTTGTAACTTTTACTTGTTATTAGCTGAGCATGGTTTTTTTGCAGTGTTTCCTTTTCTATTTTTTGGTTGAATGTATTGCCTTCCAGATGAGGCTATGGTAATTTTATTAGCTTGTTTGTTTATCTATTTGACTGTTCTCTTCTGATGCTGCAACTTCCTTTTAGGTTGCACGAGTGAGGAATGCTTTGGCTTATGCAACGCATAAGTTTTTCCAAGAAAATGGTTTTGTGTGGATCTCAAGTCCTATCATTACAACTTCAGATTGTGAAGGAGCTGGTGAACAATTCTGTGTTACTACTTTGGTACGAACCGTAGCTATAATGACTTTATTTTTTTCTTTCTTGTCAGGTTTTAATAGTTAAAATTTAATACATGATTCCTTTAAACAACTTTTTATGTGAGAAGTTTAGCACTTAGCTGTTATTGTCCATGTCTGTATGTGGAGCATCTAGGCTTAAAGGGAATATATTCTTATTATATTTTCAATTATTTTCTAGCTTTTTTATTTCATGTCAATTTGTTGATTTAAATGTGTAATCCCACTGCGCATGGAATGGTTTCAGTAAGAACCCCTTAGCAATTATGATACCACTATGTTATGGCTTTTCGTATATCTTTATGATTCATTAAGTTCTTCTTAATTGATAGATTCCAAGCTCCAGAGAAGCCACTGATTCTCCTGTGGGTGCCATTCCAAGTACAAAGGATGGATTAATTGATTGGTCACAGGTGAGTTAGATTTACTTCACTCTGTTTCCAATTTTAAAATTTTTAACCTCTTATAAATGGAAGTACTTACTTTTGCATTTCAAGGCTCTTCTAATGCAGAGAGGCAGCCAACTGTATATGGTTTTATAACTTACTCGGTGTGCATCATCTATGCAATTGATAAATTAGTTCATAAGACATTTCTCTGAAAATGTACCTGTAAACTTTTCTTGTGCTGCAATTTTGTCATTTGTGTATCTCTGTCTTTATGTCTGAAATTGCATTGGATGCAGTTTGCAACTCTCTCAAAAATCAGTAGCGTTTTTTAATGCAACGAATATAATTCTTATTTCCTATTTTCGTGTGCCAGGATTTTTTTGGCAAACCAGCATTCCTGACAGTTTCAGGTCAACTTAATGCTGAAACATATGCTACTGCTCTTTCAGATGTATACCTCTTCTGCTTGTTCTCATATTAATTCAAAATGGGAAGGTAACAATTGAGATATAACACTGTACTTATACTTTGTCAGGTTTATACATTTGGACCCACCTTTCGAGCAGAAAATTCAAACACATCTAGGCACTTGGCTGAATTTTGGGTAAGCATTCTTGGTTTAGCCTTGAAAATTTTTACTTTCGACTCGACTTCACATCCTTCTCCCTTTTTTGTGCATTTGGCCTCTGCCTTACTAAATAGTCTCCTAGAACTTATTCCTTCTTTTGTTTAGATGATTGAACCAGAACTGGCTTTTGCTGATCTGAATGATGACATGGCCTGTGCAACTGCATATCTCCAGTATGTGGTATGTTACTTTTCACTTCTATTGGTGAATTCATCTCTCTGTTGCTACACTGTACACTCAGAAGCTCATAGGCACACACAATGAAATTCTTTAGTGTTATCTTTCTGAGTGGATTTATTTTGACATTTGCTGTTTTCATGGAAGGTACGGCATGTGCTTGATAATTGCAAGGAAGACATGGAATTTTTCAACACTTGGATCGAGAAAGGGATCATTAATCGACTGAATGTATGAACTCTAGTGTATTTTAACCTTACCTTTTCTTCTGAACTGAGCTGGGAGGGGTTATTAGACATTATTTGATGTTCTAGATTTTTTTCTCCCCTTCTATTGAGTTTAACATCATTACTGGCAATGTTATTGTACTGATATGTGGATGACTTTTATTTGGTTAACAGGATGTGGCTGATAAAGACTTTGTGCAGTTGACTTATACTGATGCAATTGAACTTCTTCTAAAAGCAGAGAAGAAATTTGAATTTCCGGTATCGCATGTTTATTTTTTGTTCAAACCTTTATAAAACCTCTTCTTGTATCATCTTTTTTTAGTTCATTTTAAATTAAATTCGAAGATAACCACTCCCCGGTCATGAATATACTGAAATTTGTGTCTTAGCCATGTCTATCAGACATAATCCTCTTACGAGTTTGTATGGATAGTTATGTCTATTTAATATTTCTGACTCTTGGTTTCTTTTACAGGTGAAATGGGGATGTGATTTGCAAAGTGAGCATGAACGGTACATAACTGAAGAGGCATTTAATGGATGCCCTGTTATAATCAGGGACTATCCAAAGGCATGCAATTTGTCACTCATCACTCTTCTCGATGTTGGAATTTTATTTGCTTTCAGTGTTTAATGCCTGAAGTCCTTTAATGTAAAATTCTCAGGAAATCAAAGCGTTCTATATGCGGCAAAATGATGATGGGAAGACTGTAGCAGCAATGGATATGTTGGTACCTCGGGTAAATATTAAGTTTCTTCATTTATAGTTGCCAACAAATTTATTATGATTCTTAAATTCATGCTACTGTATCCTTTTTGCTTTATGTTTCAATGGATAAGTTTAGATGATGTATGTGATGCGTCTGTTTCTTTACGAACATATCTAATGCTCTTCTATAAGAATGTTTTGTTATATTCTTTTCCTTGGTTGGTGAGTTCGTTGTAGTTACTTTTCTTGTTTACATTTGTTAGGTTGGTGAGCTCATTGGTGGAAGCCAAAGGGAAGAACGACTTGATTATCTGGAAAATCGTTTAGATGAGCTAAAGCTTAATAAGGAGAGCTACTGGTGGTATCTTGATCTGCATCGTTATGGTTCAGGTTAGAGATCTTTCTCATAAACTTTTATAATAGCTGCTGACCCTGAGAATAGTTCAAAGTCTGCAATTTACTATTCTTTTCTTTTTTTTTTCACTGTAGTGTTGTCTTAGACTCTTACTATAATTTAATTTCTGTCTTCTTATTTTTGTGTGATATTTTTTTCTTCTGTGCGAATGAAGTTAATACCTGTCTCTAAATTTGGGATACTAAGGAGTGAGTGTTGGATCACCTGGTCAAACCAACACTAATGGGACGGGTTAAAGGCCTTTATAAAGCGTAGGGGCAGGTCAGGAATGCCAGTTTAGTGGAAAAAGGGACAGGTTTAGGAAAGAATACATATAGGGTTTCAACCAGCCACTCTGCGTCCACATCATCTCAACACTGTAATAAAAGGTAGTTTTAAAACATTATGGCTGTACTTGTGCAAAGGCGCTTAATCTTGCTTAAAGGTGATGTGGTGATTTTGTTTTCTTTTGTTGAAACAATATTTGCTAAGAATGTTTGGCAACACAGGCCTTTCAATTATATAGAAGGGGAATGGTCCTATAAATACTAGCAAACAAAATTCAGACATGCGGGGGAGGCATATGGATGTACTGTATTCACACTAAGGATTACATAAACTGATGATAGAGATTCAACTTTTTAGTTTTTTGTTGAGGGGTGGATCAAGCCTAGCAGCAACCACATCAGCCCTCCAAAAAAGTGGTAACTAGTTTTAGAATGCTCCCTGCCACAAAGTTCTTGAGGGCCCAGCCTTGTAATTTCTTCTTATCACTACTCTACTTGTAGCATGCTGAGTCTCTGTCTAGGTTCTGGCACATAGCAAGGTAATATCAGCTCACAAGAGATAGTTAGCCAATTCCAACCCCTTAGACTTATATCATGGAGGGATGATGAACTGATGTGTATGTTATAGAGGTGAAGTGCGAGTGGAGATGTGCAGGAAAAGATGTTCTCATGATTTTTGTGTAATGACCATTTAATTGCATTTACCTTTATAAAAAAAATCCAATTTTAGGATATTCATCATAATCTATTGATTTATCCTTTGCCAGTTCCTCATGCGGGCTTTGGACTTGGGTTTGAAAGGCTAGTGCAGTTCGCCACTGGAATTGAGAATATAAGAGATGCAATACCTTTCCCAAGGACACCTGGTTCAGCTGAATTTTAGTGGTCCAACCAGTTTTAGATTTGATATTTTTTAAAGCAGTTTTGAGGTTCTTTCTTTTCCTTTCTCATTTAAAGTTTTTATGTTAAGAGATCTCATCTGCTTTATAGAGCGATTGCTGAAGACTAGTTAGCTACCCTTTTCCTTGTTTTTTTGTAAAGAAAATAAAAGGTATATTGAAATTGAATTTTAAAATATTTAGAATTTGTAACATTTAATTTTGTTGTAAAATGAATTTACTATTAAATTTATATGTAAGTGCATTCTCACGTTTAAAACTTTTTTTATATGTATTTCACATAATGTTTTAGTCTTAATTTGCATTTAAACACTTTGGAGTTTTTTGAGTTTAGCTAAACATCTTACAGATTATTAGCTTTATCTTTCATTTTGAAGTCTGTACCAAAAGGACAAAAAAAAAATTCAAAAGCAAAATATTATGATGACTCAATTGGGGAAACACTTTTTAAGAAAAAAAAACTCATTTGGGAAACACTTAAAATAGGGAGGAGTGAAAAGAGTTTTGACTTTTAACTCCAGATCCTGGAAAATATTAAGCAATCTAAATCCTCTCTGACTCGCAACTGTCAACAGCTTCCGAACACCAACAGTCCTTAATTAACATGCATCATTTAAATTTGCAACCTACAACAGTCTTAACCATCATACATAACATTTGAACAAATACTCAATTAGCTCTACGATCTATCTTTGTTTCTTTATGGGAAAGTAGTAGTACCTAGAAAAAAATTCTTTGGTTTCTTAATAACAAGCAGTTAATGTAAAAATTCAAACTTTGGTTTCAGCTGAAAATCCTTCTAGAGCATCTCATTGATATCATACAAATGTAGCTAGCAATACAAAAGAGCGAACATTTTTTCTTTTTAGCAAATCAGTACACAATCCTTTTTACCCTTGGGGGGGATCCCTTTGCAGTTTACTCCTAATCTTTCACCTCGAGAAATATTTCTATTCTTCAACAAATGAACAAATTACTGTACAATGGTGCCTGCTCTCAGGCTTTTGTTGCTTTTCAGTAACCAAAAAAATTCCCCGGCTCCTTGAACCCTGGGAAGTACAGATGAAACCTAATAATAAAACTAAATAAGCAACTGAATTTCAAAATACAATAAAAAAAAATGGGAGGCGGGATCAAGATGTTTAGAGGAAAAAGAACATATTTGTGTTTCCATTTTAACCAAACCAGTACCGGCGCGTGCTGCCATTTTGTCCTATACTTGGAAGATGCAGGAGCAGGAATATCAGGAGTATTGTATTCAATGATTGCAGGAGCAAAACTTTAATATTTACATCTTGACAAGTCTTGGTTCAAAGATCTACCTCATGTAGCTCATCCCCAAAACTACCATTCATTGAACCAGGCATAAACAAAGATGGAGGCATTCCCAATGCCTCCCCAAAAGAACTGATTTCGGCCTCACTAGGAGGACTTAATGCATTACTAAAGTTGCTTCCACTCCAAGAGGCTGCTCGCCGTGAGTGCGGTGGAAAACCATTGGCATTTGTCATAATGCCTTTTCGAGTAATATTATCCATGCTAGGGAACCTTTGCATGGTCATTGATGATGATGGTGCGGGAGATTGATAAGACTCATTGGCATTGGATGTAGTAGGATTATTACTAGTTGTGTTTTCTTCTTGTGCATTTTCTGCTATTGCCTCCATTGTTTGTTCAGTCGTCGACGCAGCTGTGGGAATAAAGAACTTTGCATTAGCAGCCACTGCAGGTTTAACAGAGGGAACAGCAGGTGACTGAAATAAATTTGCTTGGCCACCACCACCTTGGTTGAAAGTGTCCACATACCTATCAAGAGTTCACAATACCATAGAAAAGGGAAAATGAATGAAAAATATAAATAATGTTCTCTTGGTTTCTGAAGTAATGCAACAAAGCCAAATAAAACTCAACTTCCAAACCAAAAATTTTTTATCAATTTCACCAATAACAGTGATCAGGGAAATCTTATATGCTTATGAATTCTCAGAAGCATTCATGGTCCTCTAAATCATTATTTCTTAGCTAGCTATTACTCTTTTTTCTTGGTAGGAAGCTAGTTATTACCTAAGTCTAATGAAATACTATATTTTCCACCTTATCTTACTTTCAACATTCTTTCCTTTCTATCCTTTTTCCACTAAGTTTGTTCCATGGCATCATTCAAATGCAACAGTGGAAGTTACAAAAAATGTAAAACTTCAGAAGTACCTTGCCCGCACACCCATCCGGCCACGGGCCGAGAATTGGTTGGAGCTGGTAGGAATAGGTGGGATCCCAGAAGCATGCTCTATTGGGGTTGGATTTCTGAATGTCGGGCTCCCGTTCGGGGGAGATCCCTCACTCTTCAATGCAGAGTTCAAGTTGTAGTCAGACATTCCATTCTGGAAGCCTGCAGTGGTTGGAGGTGGTGGCAAGGCTGCTTCTTCAGCTGGAGGTTCAGCACCTTCCTCCACCCATCTCTTAAGTTTTTCATCATAATAGAATTTGTTCTTTTCACCCAGCTTAGCCTTCAGATAGCAGTGCACGTTAAATTAAATCAAACAATTATATAAGAGTGATTATCTATGCTTCTGCAAGAGAAAAAGTAAGAAAAACTAGAGCAATATGAAAATAATAACAATAAGAAAAAGGAACTACCTGTTTATCTGAGCGAGGCCTTAAGACTAACCCCACAGTCTTCTGCAAAAGCTGTGAGCCAAAACCAAAACGAGAAAAGCGAGATGCCCCTACTGAGCCTGATGCTTTGCCCTGTGCAGTGGATGCTCCTGCTTCCTTTGATGAATCAACCCGGTGCTATCAAATATCAGAAAGACCTCATTAACTTTATTCAGGGTAAGATGCATAAGCAGTTAGCAGCAAATATAGTACTTCAAGTGGAAATATTTTTAACCTGTCTTGGAGTTCTGCCGAAGTCCGGCTCTGAAACACTTCTATTGTGCATCGCCATTTTGCCATCAGCCACCCTGCTTGCCCAATCACTTATAGGCTCCATTGAAGCAGAGGACATCAAAGATGACATAGCCATTGTCGATTGACTAGCTGATACTCTAGGCCCGGTTTGTTGGTTGAAATGATCGTTACCTTGAGAATTTTCATTTGGTACTGACGGAGCAGGAGGTGGTAGACCCCCCACAACACGATGTGCAGTGCTATCAAAAAAGTTCAGCAATTTACCAACTAATTTTGCAGGAACCAAATTTGCTGCATATCCCCCCTGCAAGATGAAAGAAGTCCAATATGATCAGAGAAAATATTGACAAGAAGCCAAACTGAGAAGCTAAATAGTTACCTGTTGATGGATTCTTATCCTGTCCTCAAGAGATAAAACTAATTGTTTCCAAGTTTCTATCTCAGGTGCTCGACCAGTTTTCAGAGACTTTAATACAGCTTGACAGTACCTGAACTAGCCTCGTTATGTTAACAAAGTTGAAGGTGAAATACGTTCAGAAATCAAATACAAACAACTTAATATGCTTACTTCAATGAATCTGAAACTTTTCCGACTTCAGCCAGCATGTGTGCATATATAAGCTTGTATGGCTGAAATGGTAGCAGGATATACTGAGAGTTCCCCAGTACCTTCGAATATTCATAAAACTCAGTCCTCTGAGAAAAAAAAAATGGTTAAGTGTGTATATACGTGTAGAGAGAGAGAAATGCTGAGAAATGCACACGGCATTTCCTATTTAGGTTTGAACCTAATCAATATGCTTGAACATTGAATTTTCATTTACATTTCCCCGAGCAGAGAAAAAGCACCCTCTACTACATACTGTAAATCAATCGCGGGAACAAAGTGCTTAAACTCTGGTAAACATCCCAAAGTACCAACATCATGCTTGATAAAATAGTTGCCAAACTTCTATAAATTAGACAATAATGACACAAGGATTAACAAATAAATTTGAAGAGCACCTGGATAGCCTCTGGACTAGCATAGGTTCGGGGAAACTTCCAGTGATCTGCTCCAATAAGACAAAGTCTAGCACTATCTGAATATGACTCAAAGTTTGCTTCTGCAACTAAATAACAGATGTGCGCTGCAATTATCTGAATTAAAACTCTCAAGTAAGAGCCATAGTTTTATAAACATTAAGAATAAGTAAATAAGCTAGAGTGTGCTATCAAAAAGAGAGAGAATAAACTAGAGTAAACAATAATGCACCTCACTTCTTTCCTTCCACAGGCAATCTCCAAGATGAATAATTACAAGTTCATCGTCTTTGGTTCTGTTTGCAGTTATGACAGCCAAATTCTGTTCCCAATCATCAAGCATGCAATTGTCCCCTAACTGCCCATTAAAAAAGTGAAGCAAGGGAATTCAGCTTCTTATGGTAAAAGTACTCCTATTAAAATGAATTCAAACATAAGGACATCAAATGTGAAGAAACAAAATGAAATGTAACAGGGGCAGTAGCTGAATGAAGCATGAGTTCTCCACAACTAAGGTATTCTTATTGCCAGAACTATTGCTGATCTCCCCCCCCCCCCAAAAAAAAAAAACAAAAAACTACATGGAATAGAAGCATCAAAAGTATCTGAAGTACAATCCCCTTAACCTATGTTGTTTTTCTCATGAGTAACCACTTCACCATGCTGGCATATTTTTTCTTAAATCTATTACAAAAGAATCCACAATTATATCAGAAAAAATGATCAGACCATGTTAGTTGTTTTAATACAGTTGCCCTGTTCAGTGGACTTTTTTCCTTCTTCCAGATAAATAACGGTTAGAAAAGAATTTCATGCACCAATACACCACCTGTACATGCTGTCGAGACATATCCATGCTATCAACTGTGGTGCCTTTGGAAAAAACTTCGGCTGGTTGCCCTGCAATTAGCAGGCATAATGTCCGTAAAGAAGACCCTGCTACCAGCTGATGAAGTGCCATTTGCTTCACAGTATCAGCGTAAAACTGCAATGATCCAAAGCCACCACCAAGAAGAAAAGGTAAAGAGAGATTGCAGCTTCAGTTAAAATCTTCCTTGAACATGAAAATCAGAATAAGTCGCAGACAATTGTATGAAAGAGAAAACAAACCTGATCGCCAAGTTGTGAAGCGAGAACAAGTGCAGGTCCCCACAACTGACCTTCTTGTGCACACTGTAGAGCCTCTTTCTTTCGACCAGAAACCAGAAGATTCTGAACCTCAAAAGCAGTTGCCTAGAACATACATTAAAATTAACTAAGAAAATACGATAAAACAGCCTGTAATAATAAAAATGGTAAAGTATACTTTATGGAATACCCGAATCTGTCCTTCAGAAGGCAATTGCTGCAGGCAGTGGCTACTAGCACCATAAGGTGTGTCCTTCCTCTTTGCAGATGCAAAGAGTTTAGCAACAGCTGATTCTGGAGTATCAGTTTCCTATCAACAGGCACATGCCAAAAAGAATGAAGTACAATATAGCACACCAAAAAAAAAAAACAGAGAAGAACAACAACAGTCTTATTTTACTTTGTTGAAACTGGAAAAACCTCGGAAGATCAATTATTTCTTGAGTTGTATGTTAGAAAGCCTAAGACAATCAGATTGAAAAAAAGAATCGCATGACAAGCATCTTCGTGAATGGAATAACAGGCTAAAAAAATGAAAATTGTAAAGAAAGTGTAACATTATGGTTACAAAAAACTAGGTTAAAATTACAATAAAAGTATTTACCTTCAAGAGAGTGTCAGCACCAAAAGGAGACCGAAGTTTTCCATAACGCTGGCAAGCAATTTTAAGCAACGAGAGAAGCAGCCTTAAAATTTCACCATTTCTGTAGTCCGTGTCAGGTGATTCACAGCTGGCAATTCGTTCATCAATCCACTTGTTCAAGTCTTTACTGCCTACATTTCCACCAACCAATGGACCGGGGACAGATTGTTGGCACAGAGTACGAAAATAATTACAAGCTGCTGGTGCAGCACCAGAATCGTTTGTGTTTCCATTGACGACTTCCAACAAATTGAGAACACAGATAGAGGCTCCTACAGAATCCTTCAAACGAACACAATCATACAACATTAGCATTTAGAAAACCAAACACTACAGCAGGAGCATTTCATGTTTGGTATTTAAACTCAATAAGGCATCCCCTGCTACAAAATCATGCTCTAAACCTTCAATCAAGAAAGATGTTTTCTTTTCTGGAAATTAAAACAACAGACACAACCTCAGAGAATCTATTTCTTAATTTCATCAGCTTCTGCCAGACATATATTTATTAAGTAGTCTAACCTGGGTACCAAATGGCGAGTTCTGCAGAGGACTACCATCCTTCATTACTATGAGTTTTCCACCAAACCCAAAAGAAACAAGTGCATGCGGGGGACGACCAGCAGATGATCTCCCTGTATTGGAAGCATAAGGAAACTGCTGGCTACTCTGAAGCGGCTGCTGGGCAACACTTACAGACTTCTGGCCTCCATAGAAATCATTTGAGAAATGCATTTGCTCATTTTGCTTTAAATTTGTCTGATTAAACTGGCGGTTGAAGTTTTCACTAGGAACAAAGCTTCTTAACCCAATAACCCCATTGGCCTCAGTATGAACCTGATTAGCATTATTAAGTGACTGAACTTCCTGCAAAGAATTATAGGATGACTTGAAGTGACTTACATGGTTGTTCACAGGCATATTCGAACCAAAAGACGTATCTGATTGCTCGTTTCCACCAATGCTAGAAAATGACTCAGTTTTGGCAACAGTCCCAGGTTGCCACATATTCAAACCTGGACTATTATAGTTACCATAGGAGTTGCTCCAATTACCATGTTCACCAGGGCTTCCAAGGCCTGACCCATAATTATCACCTTGTTCATATTCACCATACGTACTGTTACTTTGAGAGTTCCCACCAGTAGAAGCAAAACCATTTTGATTCTGCTGATCATGACCTTGAACCATTGACTGAACTGAGGCATTATAGCTCTCCAATTCCCGCCATTCTTGAGCAATTGTGTCATAATACCAACCAGGGTATTGAGGGTCAAAGACCATATGTTCTGGATACCCATTATTCACTTGTGAAACCTGATTCCAACTTGTGACACTCTTCGTGGCACCACTCTCTACAGTTGTCATAGTCCCCGGAACAGACTGAACTGTCTGTTGCAAATAAGAAGCCCCTACTTTCAAATCTGTGGTCCCACTGCCATCACCACCTGCAGACCCTTGAAGGTTCCCCTCGTAACCATTCACCTGATACCACTGCTCTGAATTTGCGTCATACTTCCATCCTGGATACATATTCTCCCAGTACTGACTACTAGTCATATCTTGCTCATTTCCATTATCTGCACTAGAAGTTCCATAAACGTGGCCACTATCAAGATACTGCCCATAACTACTAACCGAATTCTGATCTAATACACCCTTTTTTGCAATTTCATCCACTTTACCAGGGAAATCCTCTGCGGACTTCTCCCCTAAATCATTGAAAAAATCGGCATACGAACCGAACCCATACGCCCCATTGTTCTTAGAATCCGCATAAAACGAATTCCACCCTACTTCCTTAACCCCAGAATTCATAGATCCAGCATTCTCACTTAAATTCTGATCGAATCCAACCTCTGACCATGCTCCTTCTTCGCCATGATTATTCGAGTCAGTCACATTATTGTCAAGCCCTAAGGAATCATTACCGTCATCACCTGCGTGTGCATTGGCCGTTGCTGGACCAGCATGCACAGGATCCTTTTCCTTTTCATCATAATTGTCAGCCTCGCCGCCGGAATCTTCGCCAATTGTTAAATTAGCGAAGGCTCTAGCGTCGTCGGAGTCGTTACCCTCCGTGAATTTAGAGGCAGTGGGGCCCGTGTTGACATCATCATCATCATTAACCAACTTGTCGAAAAAATCTTCATCCGTCTGATCCTCCACCTGGAATGGAGGATTCGAAGCCATCGACCAAATGAAACAAAAAACGGAAAACCCTAGCGCTCTTATAACCCAAAAATAAAATGCTTTACTATAATTTGCTCTCGAAAATTTCAAGAAAAGAAAATTAAGAAAGATCTACGTGAATTTCGAGCTGAAACGGTTACGCAGGCATCGAGATCCAACTGCTAAACGCCCGAATCAGATGAAATACAGGAACCAATCGAGCAAGATCTAGGGTTTTTGAGATCTCCGCAAATCCTGAGACCATAAATTGATGTGAAAATTTTTAAAAAAATACCAATAATAATGACAAATAGAGGCAAAAACTTAATGCGTTAAATTGAAAAACTAAGAGAAACCTAAGATAGATAGAAATAATATAGAAATAGAAAAAACTTACAGATTCAGGTCAAATTTTGCAGAGACAAAAAAAATTAAAACTGAGAGAGAGAGAGAGAGAGAGAGTTGGATTTCGCACCAGCCAACCAACAAAAGAGAGAGAAGAAATGGATTCGAGAGAGAGCTTGATTTTGTTTTTTTTATGGTTGTTTTTGTTAGTATGTTAGTTTTTTTTTATGTTTAATTTAGTACCATTTATTATGCCTATTTTCCTTATTTTTGTGCTTTTATGAGAAACTCTTTTTTGTTTTTCTGCTTCAGCTCCAGTGTGTTAATTAATTTCTACTAATAATTAAGGTTTATACAATAAAAATTTATGTGCCGAATCTACTTTATGTACTACTTTTCTTTCCTTTTATTTATTAATGTAAATTGTAATAATTGTAATGAAGTATTTTTTTGAAAAAAATTTCATCTGCATTTTCAAATCTACTAAAAAGTCGAATCATTTTCCTTGGACATTCATAAAAATAAAAAAATAAAATAGTTTTTGTATTTTTTTAAATAATAAATTATTAAATCTGGATCTAAAAAATTTAATGCAAACTGTCCTTGCTTGTCTTACAATATTTTTGTAGCATGTTTTCCCACTCGGACCAACTGTCCTGTTTTCGAAACTTTTAAAATTAGACCCTAACTAAAGTCCAATTTTTAGATTGTCAACGCGGTAAGCGGCCAAGGTTTTCCCATTTGGCCAAATTTTGTTCAATGATGTGACAATAATTGCCTAATTGGCTCATTCAGATTCTTAATTTTTTTTCTGTAAATTCCTGAAATACGGTCATCTTAGTTGGCATTCGGTACAGCTAAAAGCAGCTCATTGCTGATTCCCAGGCCTGTGGCTGACCAAAGAAGGCCATGGGCATGTAATAAGAGGGCCTTGAACAATTTTATGATGCACCATGGGGCTGGGGCTCAACCCAGCGTTAAGGTTTGGGCCATCCAAATTTTGGGTTCAGCTACGATTTGAATACTAGAAAAAATTGGTCTGCATTTTTAATTCACATTGAAGCACTGAGAAATTTTCAAGATTTACATTGGGGAAAACAAAATTATCGCTAATTAAATTTGATAATTTAAAATATAATTTAAAGAAATAAAAGATATAAAAATAATATAATTTAAATTTAATAATATTTAAAAGTTATATTTTATATTTTATACTAATATAAATTTTAACATATAATTTTTATATAAAATACAATACAAATATAATATTTTATATAATATAATCATTGGAATTACCAAAACTATCACTATTCAAATAATCATACAAAAGAATATAACGAATTCCTAACTTTTTTCTCTTGCCTTTCAAGTGATTCAAGTTGATCTCAGCACTTTCAACATCATGTCACTTTTATCATGATGAATTTGCTCTGAAGGAGCTATCAATCAGCCATTGGTATCGGAGTGTTTATGTGCAGAATGAGAAACTGAAAGTAGGTTCTGGATTGTGAAGAATCCATAATCAACAAAACAATCAGGACTACTTGATTGCATATTTCCTTTCATCGTCAAATCATGAAATTATGTTGTCAGAAACCTATCATCTGAAATTCAGCTGCCAGAATATAAATCTCCAACTAGCTAAACCAATAATTACTGCTCGCCATCCTCACCAACCAAAGCAAAATTTTTTGCTTGGTCCTTTCCTTCCTCATCAAATTTGAAAGCTGGTTGGCAGCCAAGTAATACCCTTTTGGAAATGTGCTTAACTTTAGCTCTTAATGAGCAAACTGGAAAAATGGGACATCTACTTTAAGAACGTTGGAAATAAAAGGGTTTAAAACTATGTTGCAGCCATTTCTATATATATATATATATATATATATATATATATTTTATCCATGACCTAACTGTATGGTTCTATTTGTAGTTGGAGTCCTATTGTTTAGGTTGCTGAAGGACACACCTATAATTGAAGAGGCAACCACTCCCCACACCCACAAGGCAGGTGGGTTGCACTAACAAATACAGTGCATGATTGCTCGAATCGAATCGCTTATTAATTCCTTTTTTTTTTTTCCCATTTCAACGGTTACAATATAACCTTCTAGTTCATTCATTTGTTATCTTAATTATACGGTGAAGATCATAAAGTTAATTTAATTCCACCATTATACTTTTCCACGGACAATTAATAGCTAAATAAATTCGAAATTTATATACTTCTTAACGTATAAGGATAGCTTGTTGGTAAAATATATATTTTTTATTTTAATAATTATAATTCAATTAATGATAGTTTTAAATAAATAAATAAATAATCTCTTAATCAGTACGACGAGATAAATTTATTTTTGGAGACGTCAATTCGTATAGGATCGGGATCAAGTTAATAATAACTTAAGAACTTAGGGCCAGCTTTAAGGACATTGTATTTAAACTATTCATTATTTTAGGTTTGTTATAAATTCCTAGTGACTTATATATCCTCTTAATATTCATTTAATATGATTTATTTGCAATTCAAACTACTCTTTTTTCGAGATTCCAAACACATCCACCAATTGGACACGAAATCATCATGTCATTTTGTGGCGAGAACACAAGGTTAAAAATGGCATTAAAATTTTGTAGGAATCGGATGCTGGTCACAAGACCAGAATTTGTACAAGAATAAAGGGTTAAGTCACAAGCTTTGGTTGATATATAATTTTATGCAGATGCTTTGAATGGTCAGAACAACCAAAAATAAAAAGGAACCCACATAGTCCAAAACATACTAAATGGAACAGGTTGCAAAAACAAACTGTGGGTTGGTTATTTAATTGGCAGTTTGGCACCTCACAATTATCTCTTCGGTTTGATTTTGTTTTATACTTTATATAATTATAGTCAGAGGTAGGAAAGATTTTATGCACATGCAAACATACGTATAAATAATTTTTTAATTTAATAAAAAATTAACTTATTTCTTAAAATTAAAAAAAATATTATTATAAAATAATTATATATATATATGTATGTGTATGCAACGAAGTACTTTGTCATGAAAACATTAATTGCCTTCAATACTCATTTGGAATTATTTAATAACTTTGCACAACAACAACCTTAATTGCATTTCTATCAATTTTTTTTTCTTTCTTTTTTTTTAATATATATGAAAGAAACATGGTAGATCCCGTAGGGTCCACAGGCATTTTTACGAGAAAAAAGATATTAAGACGTTGACCCAAAAGGTCTGCCACTTCATCCTTGGTTCGGTTCTTTGCTCCCAAAAGAGTGCCATAACTCACGCTTCTCAATTTACTTATATACCCAAAGATTATTTAAATACGACTTTTTTTTTTTCTCTCTTTACTTTCTTCTCCGAATAATATTAAATAAAATAAAAAATCAGCTCAAATCCAAACTATGGTAGCTGAGTGTTTGCTTACTAATAATATGATGGGTTTAATAATTGAATTCAAATTTTAATTTATTTAATTTGTATAATTAATTTTAAAAAATAATATTTAATAAATTTAAAAATCAAATTTTAACCTTTTGTAATTTTACAATTGGTTTATGAATAAATAATAAATATGATTTTTCAGAGTCATTCACTTCATGTGATTGTGAACGTTTCCTACCGAAAAAAAATAAAATTAAATACAAAAAATGAGCTTCATGATAATCGAGGGGTCAAACTCAAACATACAATTTGATTGAAGACGTTTTTGTTGCTTTTATTAGAGTTTCCCATATGCAACCAGCTTTGCTTATTCCTTTGGCTGACCCCTTTTTATTTCTTTCCTTTCACTCTCTCTCTCATTCTCATTTTATCAATTTCCACACATTGTTTAATATATACTTTTATCTGTTTTTGAAACTTTCCTTTTTTTTTTCAATTAAAATAAAATTTTCCAAGAGTTTAATGCAAAAAATATAGTACTAAACTTCACCAATTAAATTAGCTAGCCTTGATTAGTGCCCGCTTGGAAAATAACTAATAGGTGATATGGGATGAAAATAAAAACAAAAGTGTGTTGAACATTTAATTTTATCTAACCTTTTTTTTTTGGTAATTTGGTATCTTAAGCTAGTAAAGTTTGCTTGGGTCAAAGATGCATTCGAAATTTTATTTGAAAATATTTTTCACTAAAATTGAAACATTTCACTTTTTACTAATTGAATTAACCTAGTGAGTTATCTAACACTATATTTCCTCCAATAATGGAATTTCCAGTCAGGGAAATAAAGAAACTAGTTTCGGAAAAACCGTCTCGAAAGTTGAAAGATACTTGACGATGGTGATAAGCCATGTCCGTTGAAGATGACACAATAGCAAATGAATAAACCAATTTCACATTTTGGTTAGCCACTACTTGTCTACTTCCATAAAAAATATATAACAAAATTAAAGTGTTGTTTTGTAGAAAGGATGGATAGATGAAAAAAAAAAAAACAAATTTATAAATTTCCTCCAATTAATGTGCCTGCAAACATCATTAAACTCAAATATATATAATGGACGAAGATTTATTTTTTTCATAATTTTATTTTCCATTATAAAATTTTAACATTTTTTGTGTGATTTTATCATAAAAATCATAAATTAATATAAAATATTTATTATTAAAATTAAAATTTTAATATTTATCGATAAATCATACTATTATTAATAACGTAAATAAAATTTTGTTTTCACTTGTAGAAAGTAATTAAATCGGCTAACTACATGTTTGTTTAGTAAGTAGATACAACTTCAAATCCACAAATAGTTTTTAGCATAAATTAAGTAGGATTCTTTTGAAGCAAGAAAATCACATGCATGCGTCAAAGAAAGGAACCTGAAAACCATTCATTCTATTTACTAAAATGTCCTTTGTATTTTTTTTAATCAAATATTGGTCCTTGTATGAATTGAAAAAAACAAAGGTCAAAACTACAAACCATGGAAAAAGCAATGAGCCAAATTGTTATTATATGCATTTAATAAATCTGACTGATTCTTCGATAAGAACAGCATGGCTGATTGGGTGCTTCTTTTGCCCAGATATTTCGTTCATTTCAAGGCAGATAAAAATTTTACATTATCTTTTCATGCAGAAATTCAAGGGATTTTGGATCTCCTTCTAGTCAGTACTAACTAGCCACTGCCCACTAGTCACCTTAAAAGACAGATTTGCCAACACCCAGAGCAAAGAAGTCTTAAAAAAACCCAATTAGTTCCAGTAAGGTTATTTCAGTCAATTCATTCTAAAGTTTCTGGCTAATGTTCTTATCAGTGATTCTCCAAATTGGAGCAGAGAACAAAAGAGGTATAGAAAAGAAAGGAAGAAAAAAGCCCATAAAATAATTATTAATTATAGTTTTTACAGGGTATAAACAGTTTTACAGAACAGCTGGAAAAAAAGAAACAGAACATGGTAACAGAATTGAACACCTCTGGTACTTGCAGAGAGACCAGTGCTTGGTCCACAAGCAAGCCAAACCCCAGAAAAAAAATGCTTTGTTTTTTTCTTCTGACATGGGGTACACTTGAAGGTGAAACCTGATTAAGCCATCGCTATCTGATTCCTCAACAATGGCTGCTTCAGTTAATCAACTGTTTCACCAAACAGTAATGCCAGTATGCCACTAATACAATAACAAAACCTTGGAAGAAGTGAAAAATGTACTTTAGGAGGGAAAAACACACTTGTTGTAAGAAGTTTAGAGTCGAGTTTCTGTACTAAAAGAGATTGAAGCTTGTAAGTTTTACCAATAACAATTAACAAGTGTTTGAGACAAAACATTTGCGGAGTATTCAAGAAATGAATGGTGGGTCAACAACAATGAAGAATAGAAAGAATACCAAAACCAAAAAGCTACAAAAACATTCATGATTCATCTATGAATGAAGAAATAATATTAGCATCTGCAGTAAAAAAAACCAAGTTTAAAACAATGCATAAAAACATCGAATGTATAGCATCAGATCCACGTGAATTCCCATAACTGTTTGATAGTACCATCATTCAATTTATGCATCTGATACCACACTGAACTCATCATCTTCCAATGGAGCAGGCAAGTTTAGATCTATCAAATTGTTGTCAAATTTACTAGAATTTGCAGCAGCAACAGTATTAGATGAAGAAGCAGCAGCAAGCAAATGAGATCTCTTGTGACCACCAAGTGCTTGTCCTGACCCAAACACTCTGTAACAAAACGGGCACTCAAATATCTTGCTGTCCGTAGCAGCAACAACCACAGCAGCTGCAAATTTACCAGCTTTTTCAGTTTCAGAGCAAACCCTTTTATGTTTATCCAATGTGCCATAAGATCGAAATACTTTCTTACATTTCCCACATCGATGCTTCCCACCAATCTTCTTCTTGTTTATCTCACTCTTCTTGTTGTTCAACTCGATCCCTTCTGATTCTTTTAACAACTCAACTGATTTTTGTCCCATGTTGTTGTTTTTCCAAACATCTCTTGACAGCATCATAAGACACATAGCAACATCTTCTTCAGGTGAAGTATCAGAAACTGAACTCACCGGTTCTGGCTCGGTCGGTGACTCGACCAAACTGGGTTTTCTCAACAACTTTGGTTTCTTGATTTCGTCTGTTGTTATTGTATTAGTACCCACCTTCCGATTTCTCTTGGATCTTCTCCGAGTTGGGTTTCTTGACTCTGTCTCACTTTCTCTGTCTTGGACAACGGACCCAGAATCGACTGCAAAAGAGAATTCAGGATCTGCAAACCTGAAGCTCTTCTTGGGATTCTCTCTTAACCCGTAAACCAAAGATTTCTCTTCAAGTACTACTTCTCTGCTTTTCTCTTCATGTAGTTCTTGCTCTTCACCTGACGAAGAAGATGAGGAAGAAGCTGACTCTCTACGGTCACCTAGTTGGTGCTGGGTCGCCTTTGGGGGCAGTGGATGGGTTGCTAAGTGACCTTTCATATGACCTCCTAAAGCTCTCCCATTAGAGAACGTTCGAGCACAGAGCTTGCATTTGTGCTTCTCCATTGTAACAAAACAAAAGCAAAACAAAGATCAAAGCTTTCGCTTTTTTGTTTTTTTTTTTTTTTCAAGTTTGGTTTCTCTCTAAATCCCTCTTTCTCTCTCTAAAAAGCACGAGAAAGCAGTGGAAAGAAAGATTGGGAACTTAAAAGGAGTAGGTGACAAGCATTCCTCCACCAAAAGACACAATACCAAAATTTTTTTACTAGTTATTTATAAAATAATTAAAATAAAATTTTATATTTAAAATATTATTAATATATAAATTTTACATATCATCAATAACTTATCTCATTAGATTTGCTATTACATTTCTTTAAATTAAAATATTTGTAATATGAGAGGAAAATAAATATAATTTTTCTATTATATTTCTTTAAATTAAAATTTGAAAAATATATAAAAATAAAAAAAAATGTATGTAGAGGTTACAAAATGAATTAAAAATAAAAAACCCATTCGAAAAAGCTTAAATTAAAAAAAAATAAAACTTAAAAAAACTTAAATTTTAAATAATCAAAATCTAGACTCAATTCGAACTACAAAGTATTAAAATAAAAAAAATTATGAAATCTAAAAAATTATTTGATTAGTTAAAATATTAGAATCCAAATAATTTGGATCCAAAAATAATCCGTACCTTAAATGATATAATCGAAGTCCGCGCCGCTCAGGGCAGTTGCCACCTCCAAATACATGAAAATATGAATGGAGAAATAGGAACAAGTAACATGCAAACTTTGCCCATTTGGGTAATGAACTTTTCTTTTTACCACATTTGGAAGTCCATAAAATTGGCCGTCAGGCAATACAACTTTTAATTTGCTAATTCATTTCATTTATATTTTATATATTTGATAAATACAATGATATCAATACATTATTTTGGAGATCAAAAAAATGTAATCTGACCCACTTAGCAAATTAAGAAATTAAAATAAAGTTACCCAATTTTAAAATTTTTGCGCTTTTGGTCCTTGTTTCCTTTCTTTTGATTAAACAATGTTATTAATCTTCATTTTTTTTTAATTGAATAATTAAGCTGAAAGATATGCTAATTGTATTGAAATTTAGATTTATAACCACATTTATTTCTTAAACAATTACTGGAATTTTTAATAAAAATAATTGTTCAAATTACTTCATATTTTGAGTAAATCTTGAAAATAATTGGATGATATGGGATTTTCTTTCTCTTAGGGAAAAAAAATATACTGCTACCATTTGTCTTACTATTTGCTTAATTGATTATATCAATTGGGATTTTATTTTCATAATAAATAATTTAAAAATAAAATTTTGAATACATCGTATTAATATAAAAAATATTCTTTCAAAATCGATTGAGAAATAATTAAATTAAAACAAAACCAAAATCCTAACCGTATAATAAAAAAATAAAAGTATGCCATCTATTTTATGTAAATTAAGTTAATGAATCCAACAATTTGACGCACGAAAATGGAGGGCAAGTGCCCTGTCCAAATCTCCACCTTGAATTTCCGCCCTTTTATTAGTGACCTAACCTGGTGGTTATTATTGGAGAAAAAAAAACTTATAATTATTTTTTTGAAAAGATTCTCATGGTGTATTTGAATTTTGATGAGATTAAAAATAGTAATTAAAATAAAATTAATTATTAAAATAGTGAGATTAAAAGTAATAATATGATAAATATATTTAAATATAAAAGTAATGATAATAATAAAATGAATTATAATGAAAATTTAATTATTAAGAGTATTAGATTAAAATTGTATACATAAAATAATTTTAAATTATTGAATATTATAAAATTAATAAATAATTACCAATTATTAAATTATTTTAATATCAAATAATAATTTCATGAATAAATAATTATAAAATTTATAAAAATGATAATATATCAAAAATATCTTTATTATATTAAATTAATAAAATTATTTCATATTTTGAAATAAAAAATAGAATAAAAATAAAAAATATATTACAAAAATGTTTTGTGAGCAAGCAATCAGTATAGTTCACATTAATCGGTTGCATCCAAATGGACGTTGAGTGCCTTTTGACACAAATTCCCATAACAAGTGCTCCTCTATCAGAGGTGCAATTGAATCTAAAGGGAGCTGTAGCCTTTTTCGCTTTTAATCCCTTGTATAAATCAAGGAAAACTCAAAACTGTTGGGTTTGTTGCAACGCTATTGACAGGTAGTGGCCATAGAGGACATCTATGATAAGATTGGACTATATTACCTATAACTTTTTTTATTATTATAATATTATAATTAATTAATTAATCATAATAAAAATTATATAAAATTTTATTATTTAAAAATATGTGTTTTATATAATTTTTTTGAATCATTTATAATATTAAATTATAATTAATTATATTATAATAATTAAAATTGATATATTTACCATAAAATCACGTATCAAGATAAGTGCCAAAACAATCACATCATCATTTTTATTTTTTATTATTGTAAATTTTAAAAATTTATCTAAAAAAATCAGTTTTAAACTTTTAAAAGCCTATAATAAATTTAAATTTAAATTTAATTAATTCATATAATCACTAACATCCAATAAATTTATAATTTAAATTTTAATATATACAATATTTTTTTATCTCAAATATGCGATCCTTTAAGTATATATTAAAAAAAAGACTATAATCTATTAGTAATATCTCTGTGAAGAATTAATTAACCAACATAGGGCTAAAAATGAGCTTTTGCTGATAAAAGAGTTAATGCCACTATAATTAAGATTAGGTTTTAATAAAAAAGAGTTCAATACCATTATAATTTATATACAAGTTGTTAATAGAAAACAATCCAACATCTAATAGCTAAGCTGTTTTTATAAGTAAGATTTTATTTTTTTATAAAAACAATTTTTTTCAAAAAAAATTATAATGATTTATTTTTAAAATTTTAAAATAAATAATATCTCGTTCCAGACACAAATTCAATAATTTTTATATAATAGTGTTGATCCATTACATATTTTAAGATCTGATGTACGTTTTGGAAAAAAAAAAAAAAACACACGTATTATCACTTTAATTTAAATGAATATTTTCTTGCAACTGTTTTTGTTGAAGTTGGTTGAAAGTACGTATGTACGCCAAAAAAAAAAAGTTTGAAAGTACATGGTTTAATACATTCTATGTAAATGTATATATATAACTTTTTAAGATACCGTGACCTTTTGTGCCAAATTGGAAGTGCAAAAGCAGCCGGCAGGTGATTTTAATGGATACAGTTCTCCCACGCTCCGGGCAATTTACGTGTGACACAGACGCGCCTAACTTTTCCAACTGGGACTCGCGTTTAAGCTTTGACCGGAATTATTCCCATCCCCGGCGTCGCCGCCTATCTAGTCTGTAGTAGTTTCTTTTTTGAATTTTCAATTGTTTTTATGGTAATAATTTTTATTGGGAATATATGGATCATTCACGACTGATTAGATAATTCATTGTTCTTTTCACAAAAAAAATGATAAGAAATTTATTTTAATCATTCATGGATTAAATAGTATTTTAAAATGTTTATGTATCAAATAATGGTATAGTTTTTTATTTTCTTAATTATTTGAATAATGTACTAAAAAATAAAAAAATTAAACATAAGTTGGATATAAACTTTAATCTTTGATAGAGGATATAAATGTACTCCATCTGTCATTATTGATTTTTATTTCACTGAAGTTTGGAGAAAAATTTTGATTTTAGTATATTTTATATTAAAATTTTATTTTTTAATAAAAGTGATGTATTATAATTTTTTGAAGTGAAAAATTTTTTAAAAGATTTTTAAATATAAAAATAAGGGAATAAAATGTTATATAATAAAAAAATTGGGACTAAAAATTTTCAAAAAAAAAAAAAGGAAACATAGAGAATAGTAAAAAAGCCAAATTCTTTTGTTATGCATATTAAAATTTAAAAGGATCCAAATTCTACCATGTCTTAACAATTTTTAACGAATATTTATTTTTTATTGTAATTTTCTGAAAAAATTTTACCCACGGTAAATGTTGGAGTGAAAAATGATTTAGCAAGAGAAGGAATTCATTACTAAGTGTTTTTCAAATCATTTAAAAATTATATATTATGCTTAAACAAAGTTTAAAATTAACCTTGACCATCTTTAGAAAAAAATTTTGTGACATAAACGCATGCGTATATAGAAGTAGCAGGGCTAAGCTTAGATTATAGCGCAAAGCTCCTTCTTGACGAGACTTTTTAACAGATCTCAAGGCATGTTGGCGCTTTTCATGAGGGCTCATTGCCGATAATCTTTCGCTTATTGATTTAATAATTAAGAAGATTTAAACAAATATATAAAATAAGAATATAAATTTCATTATCTTTATTTTTATTTCTTATTCAATGTATAAAAAAATTGATAATCATCCTTATTGCTTTTTGTTTAATCTGCATCATTGTTATTAATATTATATCAAATAATGTTTCGGTTAAAAAAAATGATATATGTTGTTATGAGTTATTTTAACGTATTATTTTAGATTTTTTTATATAGTATAAATATATTTATAAAATATATGAATTTTTACATGATAAAATACTACTATCAATAGTAAAATAAATATGCAATGTCTTCGAATATCAAATAAATAAATTTAAAGGTATAATAAATAATATCATTAATTTATCATAATATTTTAAAAAATTTATATTTGATACATTATTAATATATATTTTATACATTATTATTGAATTAAATAATGTCACTTCATTAATAAATAAATATTAATTTTTAAAATAAATATGTAAAAAATTAATTTAAAAATTTATTTATAATGAGGTGGTATTATCCGATTTATCTCATTAATGAGATGACATTATCTAATTCATTAACATTGTATTAAATATAAATTTTATTTTTAAATATTTAATTTAATCACATGATATTTAAATAGTTATTTTTACATAAAAATATATTAAAATATAAAGAGTAAAATAAAAAAGAAAATAGCCATGGCTTTAGAATTCTTAAAAGTACTCAATTACTTTTTGGAATATATTGAAATAGATATAAAATTTTGGTTTAAAAAAACAAAATCTAAAAAAAAAAAAAGAGCTGCTCTAAAAAAATAGAGAGATGAGGTTAAAGTTTTAATTTTTAAGGATTTTATTTTATTATGTAATTTTTATTAACTTAAAAATAGTTGAAAAAACAAAAAATAAGTCCCAAAATTGTAAAAAATGTTTCACAACCATATACCTACTAAAACCAATTAATATATCAAAATTCATCAAAACCAATCAATATTATTTGATATCAAATATGATATAAAAATTATTCATATTGTATTTTAATACAATTAAAATGTATTGACTAATATAATCGATATCACATTAATAACTTTGCTTTGTATGCAAACTTGTCAATATTGTCTGGAATCGTCTTGAACAAATTATTATTACGGACATGTCTTCGTTCCAAACGTTCCAAATGTGCATCGAGTAATGAGGAATAATTTTAGACAGGGTATGTCGTTGTTTTATCTTGGTCAGAAGTTGTATGCTAGTTTCACCCTCTTTTTCTTTTCTTTTATATTGTAAACACAGAAAAAATAATAATAAAGATATTCAAATACGTGAAAAAGAAACGAAGGGATTGCTATAAAAGTTCCAACTCATTACGTCGTTGATGTATGGTCAAATATATAAAATTAACTTGGACCGACTCATTTGATTTTTCACCTTTTGAGCAACTTTGAAACGATTTCACGATTTTTATTTTTATTTGTATTTTTGTTGTTTATGCTAAAAAGCAGCAAGCGTAAAAAGTTGAACTTAATCAAATTTTTTATGATCTCAAAGATTCACTCTCTTGTGTAAATATATCACGTTATAAATATACACATAGCAAAATCAAATTAAATTTTATCTTTTTTTTTTCATAATAATAAGAATAAGAAGGGAATGAAAATTTGGAATTTATTATCTCATTAATCATCAATATATAAAAGTAATGGCTCAGTTACGAGATTAAATGAGACTTTATATTACATCAATGTCAAATTAATTCGTAAACTATAGTAATGGAGATGAGAAATGGACCGTAAAGGAATGTGAAATCACAGTAGCAACAAAGTCGAAAACCGCAATTAATGGAACAAAAGTGAAGCAAAGCAAAGCAAAGCATTCAGGGCAAACAAATCAAGCAAAGAATCTTTGGTGTAATTGGAGTTTAGCTGTCTTGCTCACATGGATTAATACTTTTTTTTTTTTCTTTCATTCTCAGATCGATTTCACTTGTCGTTTATTAGTTAGCTTGTTATTAAAAAACATTCCATTAAATTTACGCAAAAACCAATGAAAATCCCATTTTCTTGATGATCAGGACTGTACATTTTGGTCCAAAACAAAATTTCCTTTATATTTAGAATTACTTCGGCCAAAAGAAACGGGCTCACTTTGTTTTGGGCTTACCCAATAATTGGGCCTTTTGGGCGAATCCATGTCCATCCATCTGAGGTGCGGATTTGGTGTAATAATGAAATGAAATCTGATAAGATTAATCAGAGATAAAATTCTTTTGTTGAAGGAAATTTCCAAAACTATTAACGTTTGTCCAACTCCTCCTCCCTCAGTTTCTCTTCCCCAAGCTACCTCTATCATCTCTACATAACATCAGAATACTGTACAGGCTGCTGGTATATCAAGTTTCTGCAAAAAACAGTTGAAAATATAGTAATATTTACATTCTTAGCATTCAAAGCTTCAATCACACTTCATATGGTTTTCACATCAGATGTTTTTATCTGGTCTGCATCAATCTAGTTCACATTAAACTTGGAAACTAAATCTTCTGCCTGAATTTCATTTTTGTTAAGCTTTGCTTTACTATCTAGTATAGGCCATAGTAAAGATTGATGTGGGAACTAAGTAGATAGCATGTTAACTTAATAGAGGCTTCTCTGCGTCGAACTCACTTTCCAAGCCATCCCCACCAGAGTAAACTTCTTTTCCTTTAGCCCATAAGACGAAGTAGAGACCGGTGAACATGATGAACATCCCAGCAAGGCTGCATTAAAAGTGGGATTTTTATAGAACACTGGAAAATTTTGTTTTAGAAATTACAAGCAAATTGGTGAATCTGTATGTATGTATGTATGTGTGTATCTATGTTTACCTTCCTAATGAAAGGGTCTCCCCTAAAGTAACAAAAGAGAGAGCGACTGTGATGACTGTTCCAATGGGGCTAAACAGTGAGACAAGAACTGGTCCTCTCTTCTTCATCGCCCATCCATTGAAGCTTACACATGCACCGCTCACAGCACCTCCCTGTGCATCCCAATTTTATCGAATCCATCAGTGAAGAAAAAAAAAAGCCTGCATTCATGGTCTTCTACATAAAATGTCTCTGTACTCCCTGTAAATTTTGTTTTGTTAATGTGTGAAGTGTGTATTATTTCTGTCTGTTTACGACTTTACCATGGAAAATTCTAGTTTCTTCTGTTACCAAAATTCTCAATCTGCATGCCGTTTAATTGATCACTTATTTGCATCTAGATTCCTTGGGCAATTGGGGAATATGAGATTATTCAAAAGAGTTGCATACCAGTAAAGAAAAGCCAATCAGGTCCCTAACGCTAACCAGGGGCCAACCCCAATGCAAATCATGATCTCCTACCAATTGAACCATTGCAGTTATAATCACTCCAATCAAGGATGTTATCGCACACAAGGACATGGGAGCAGGAAAGTCACCTAAAGTTGTTGCCTGTGAAACACGATATCTTAGGGAAAAAGGAAAAACAAAAGCTCATATCCTGCCTCCTATGTTTGTTTTTAAACTGTACCTGCAAGACTACATTGCTTGAAAGAGCTACAACTGCTGCCATGAGGTACAAACAACCGATGATCTTATCTTTGTCGAAAATGACATCACCAGCTGGAGGAGCGATCATTCTTGCATCTTTTGGTTGGACAGTGCTCTGCATTACGCTCATTGTAAGGGCACCTAACACACACAACAATGTGCCTCCAATCTTTACTTTACTGTATAAGCAACTTAGAGCAACTTTTTCTAACCTGCATCACCATTGCAAAATTCATCCTTGGGTTTTCATTACTAATTTGATTATATGTCTGCTTTAGAAAATAAAATTTTAAGTGAATTTTGATACCCGCAAGCCCAAGCAATTATAAAGATAAGCCCTGGAGCAAGGTTCGGCATGGCTGTTGCCACTGCTGGTGAAGTCAGATTAATCCCTTTGAGAAATAGGTATTGGAATAGAGTTACCCTGAAAGAAAAATTAATCCCAACATAATTGAAATTGCATTTTCCTTTGCTTTTGACAATTGACATCACTTTCCTAAGGTGTGTGTTAGTAATGATGATCAATTCATAGATATTAATTGAAAATGATTTGCAAAAAATTTACATTTATTTTGAATCTGATTTTTCTTGATTCTCTATTGTTCCAAAGTATGTAAAATAACATGTGTGAATTAATGATTTGCTTATCCAAAAAAAGGAAAGAAAAAAAATTGATGCAATATGCACTAAAAAGTAAATTTCAAAATCAATTTTTGGAGAGAAGTATAAAAAATAAACTAAGAAAGGAGGATCACAGGCCCTCATTTTTTTCTCAGAATTAAAAAATTAAGACAGAAATTTGAATAAGAACAAAGAAGAAAAGCCTTAATTGCTCTTATTGTTTCAAAATTCAGGAAACCAAAATTAAAAACAAAGGCATTTTATCTTCTATTTGGACCATATATGATAAGCTTGTATATATAATCTAAATATAAAAAAATGAATTGAAAAATATCCTTACCCTCCAAAGGAGATCAAAACCAGCTGAATTATCAACTTCAAGGTTAATTGCTTGGGCCATTTGCTCCTGCAAAATGGATAATCAAACCCTCACCAAACTTTCATGGCTAAGCAACTTTGGAAACTCCAGAAAAATGAAAAAGAAAAAAAAGAAAAGAGACAGAAGTACAAAAATTACCTTTCAAAATAAAAAGCAAAAGGAGAAAGAATAATGAAGGTGGCAAGGGTGGAGAAAATAACAATGGTGAAAGGGCTAAGGCCAAGGGACATGAGATAACCAAGTAAAACTGAGTTCCCTGCATAAACAAATTGCACCCCTACCAATCCTCCAATTATTGCCACATCTTCAACCACATCTCTCTTCATGTACACCACCATCTTGGTTTTCCCCCCACTTTCCTTCCTTCCAAACAGAAGTAAACAAAATAAAAAAAAGAGCCCAAAAGTTTGTATATTGTATATAACTATATATCTATAACCTTCTTTCTCTTTTTTTTTCCTCCAAAACCAAACAGATGATCAAACCCTCTCTTCTTTTTCCGTCTTTTTCATGCTTTTTCTTTACACGTTTGATTCTGATTCCACACCAAACCACTTGACTTTTTTCTTTCCTCTTAACTTTCGTGTTTGGGTTATGTAATTGTAATAAATGGCAACCATTTTTCTTTCCGCTCCCTTCTTTATTTGTTTTCCTTGGTCATCTCTATCTCTCTCCTTTGGACTCTTAGCTAACATTAATGAGGTTTCTCTCCTACCAGTCTTCTCCAGCTTATTCGCAAGAGGTTGGTGTCTTCAATGGCTTTTTTCTGTCTCTTGCTTTCTTTAACACGTTGAACATTTCTGCTCCCTAGATTTTATCTCTTTGTTATTACTTTTTTTTTTCTCCTCAAACTCTCTCTTTAGAATTAGATTTTGACTATTTTTAAACATGTATCTCTTTAGAGGGTTCATATTTAAATATATAATCATTTTCTAAAATTATCAAGTATAATATATTTTATTTTAATTTTAAATTTTAAATAATTTATTTATTTCAAAAAAATTTTAATAAAAAAATCTATTAAGTATTTGTGCAATTTATCTTTACCCTTTACAAATTATAAGGTGCAAAGCATACTAATTTGAAGGTTTATTGAAAATTTTAAGAATAATTAAGAGAAAATTAGAAAATTTGAGTCTATTATCGTTTAGTGATGTTAGAATTAAATTTTAACCAAACATTAGAAATGCCAACTACAAAAATTGCACATGAAGAACACCTACCAATTAAGCATTAATTAAAAAAAAAAAAAGATGAGTTGAACTTTCGGAGGTGTGTTGCCACGTGGAAGCGGTGGCATTGCCACCGGTCAAATTAACTTGCCTTTACGCACGGTCCGTAGCAATTACACGCAATAGCCCAAGCGTGTCTTACAACGGGGATTCCCTGTGAGCCTGTGGCCTTGTCGCTACTAGGGTTAGCAGTTAAATAGAGTCCGATGAATTTTGATCTGATTCAATATTATAAGATCAATTTTTTTTATAAAAAGTTAAATTTTGGATCGAGTATAGTATTATTAAAAAAAATCGAGATAAGATTATATTCGATTTTTAGGTTAATCTGATTTGATATTATATTAAAAATTATTTTTAATTTTTTATTTATATATAATTATATATTTATATTTAAAAAATAAAATTTTATTAATTTCGAATAAGTAATGATTTATGCAATATCAAATTTTGAATCGAGTTCGAGTATTAAAAAAATTAAAAAATTTAGATCGGATACAAATTTTATTATTATAAAATCGGATTGAATTCGAGATGAGTGAAAACCCACCCCGACCCTATTTATTGTCAACTCTAATCGTTACGAAAAATTTAAGCATACAACCGATAAAATTATTCCAACATTAAATTAATTGATAAAATTATTTATTTTTTTTATACTTAATTGTACGAGCAAATAGTACAAAATTGGTCGCTTTATAAAGCCAAATAATCCATAAAAAAAATCAATAAATAATTAGTTCAATTGATTAAATTCGTTTTTATCGACGAAAAAATTTTGGATTCGAATTATGTTAGTGATCACTTATTAAAATCATATCGAATATACTACTTATAATCATTTATTTTAGACTGTTAGGTATTATACATCTTATTTTGATATGTTGTACTGAATAATTTATCTACTTTTAAATTTTTTTTATCAAAAAAAATTTATAAAAAAATTAAGTTAGTCTGGGATTTTCTTATTAATTTCAACCGGTAATTGGTAATTTTTGTATATATAATTACAAATTTACATATTACACGGACTTAAAGCTAGTTAAAATTTAAAGTAACGTATCTTCTTTCATTTTTCAATCTCTGTCAATCCCTATCATTCATTTTCCAGCCAAAAAATTTTATATTATTTTTAAAAGTAATTTGATTCTTAAAACACATGAATGCACCATTCCTTTTGGATTGTTTTGATGAGAAGTGGTCAAGTCTGTTTTGATGCGAAGGATTCAATGAAACAAATCCTCTTTTTTTTTTTTTCATATATTCTATAAGCATTTTTTATTTTTTTAAAAAATATTTTCTAAGCACTTATCAAAAGAGGAATAATATTTCACTTATTGTGTACGGTGAATTGGATTCTGAGTGCCCAAAAATAGACCAAAGGGAAAAAGCGGGCACGAAAAATTATGATTGCGTGAATTGAGAATTCCCCTTACCATTAATCAAACCAAACGAAGTAAAAAATACAAGTTGTTATCTGCTACCCTGATCGATTCCTTACCAAATTTGGTAATCTCTGGTAGGATGGCAGCTTAACCCCTCTTTTTCGATGAATATCGATTCGATGTAAATTTTTAATGTCAATTTTTTTTTTGAAAAATTGAATTTTGGATTTGATTAAATTTTAAGTAAATATGTTCCGTCCCAATTTGATATAAAATAAAATATTTTTTAATTAATTAATTAATTTTATATTTATATTATAAAATAATATTTTATTAATTTAAAATTAAATTTAATTTAAATATAAAAAATTTATAAAATTAAATCAAATTCAAATATTATAAATACAAATCAAATTAAATTTGAAACAAATAAAAATTCATCTTGATTTGATTTGTTGTCACCTCTAATCTTTCGTTGCAGGTTCTCAGATTTCATTTTCAACACGACCCCTTTCTTCTGGATCATTTGAACTTAACCTGGACGCTCAATTGGATATTTGCTTTTCGTGCTTTGAATCTGTGTACGCACAAAATGAACATGCAGTAACTTCAGTATAAAAAAAAAACCCAAAATCTCTCTCCCTATATACGTATAGAGAAAGACACGTGGGGATGGAAAACAGACCTTTCTGTGGGGCCATCTAGCCAGACCAAATTTGTGGCATATCTTCTTCACCACAGTGGCAGAAAATTCCATCTTCTGGGCTGCCTCCTCAATAGGCAGATGAAAATAATTTTCAATTTTTTTTACGGTGTGTTTGGATTTAAGAGAGATAAAAGAAATAAAAGTAAAGTAAAGAAAAGTAAAAAAAATAAAATTTGTCTCCTCTCGGATATATATTTAATTGAAAAAAAAGATAAAAACTAAATAATTTTTGGTTTCTCTTATAAATTTAATTTTTTTAATACTTCAATAAAAAAAAGTTAAGAAAAAAAAAGTTAAAAAAATTTTTTTAATAAAAATATTATTATGTTCATCTTTTTATTAAAACTAAAAATTTAATAAAAAATTTAAATAAATTATAATCATTCTATAATTTTTTTTAAAATCATTCTTTTTTTCAAGTAAATTTCATATATATAGTCTATTATAAAATTTTTTAATAATTTATGATTTAATTTTGATGAATGATTGAATATAAATAAATATTTTTTTAAATTTATGAAATATCATACTAACTCAAAATTTATTAATGTATATTTGTAAAATATCTTCCTATTTCACTTGATAAACAACCATTGATATAGTAACAATTATGAGATCAGATAAAATAATAAATATATCATAATCTAAAAAGTGCTTTAAAATCACGTGTAATAATATGTTATAATTAAAAAAATTATTATAATGAATATTTTTTTTATCTAAACAATGATTATTAAAATTTTTTTATTAATTTTAATTATCTAAATAAAAATTACATGTATCTTTTTTTTTTCTTTAAAAACTTTCTTTTTTTTTTATTAATATTTATCCTTAACATCAGCTTTCTTATTCTCTCTCTCTGCATCATGACATCCCAATTAGGATATAACCAAGTCAGTTATGGTGGCTAGAGTAATTTACTAAAACTATTAAAATACTTCTGCCAAAGACCAAAAGGAAAATTTTACTGATATACGACTACGGGATCCTTTATTTTTAGGATTTAAGACAGTAGCCACAACTTGTATTGCCAGTGAGGGCTTAGGAGGTTTCTCTTGGTTATTACTGTTCCCTGCTTGATCCATCTGAAATGCCCCTGCACCAAAATTATACAGTTCCATCAAACTGTTGAATATGACAAAAACAGAGGTGCCAAAATGGGAGAAATTTAGCTGAATCTGAGGATAATGGTTGGTTGAAGTCGCCATTATACAAATTTTCATCCCAGGCAAACCCCACGCATAAAGGCTTCATAGAAATTGAGAGTGGATCCTTAATCATGATACATCCGGCTTGGCTTCTATCCATGCAATATTGAGTCAGACACTGCCTCACGTCCTCAATGCTGTTTTTGCAGAAACTATTGAAGGTGTACCGAAATGAGGTATTGCAATTTAGTACTCAAGATTGTAACCAAGTTATGATCAAATAATTGGAGAAGAAAAAGAAGAAAGTGAAGAAATAATAATATGAATCTTACTCGAACATTTGATACTGATGGCCTGGAGTAACTGCATTAGTACTATCCGTTTGATCATTAAGAATAGCATGACAGATCATTCCAAGTCTTCCATGAATCTCAAGTTTCATAACTTGATCAATGCCTACCAATGCAAGAAACAAAATGAAAAATGAAATAACATTATCAGAAGAACGTCCTCATCAGTCATCACAAATAAAAACAATCCCGATTGATCCAACTCGAATTTGACATGAAACGCACCATTAGTATGAATGATTTCTCTCGGTATTTGGCAACAGCTGCAAACAAATGGGACTGGTTCACTTGGCCGAACTGAAAGTGGCATTGAATTCACATTATTTTAAACTTTATGTTCCCAAATTTGTTTCTCTTTGATTGTTCATTTTCCCAGAAACCCTTAAAGTACCCGCTTGAGAATCCTCTGCAGTAGGCTTATTGCAGAAATCCCTAATGACAGGATCCTCCAAAGGATCAATAGTATCACCAATATGCTCACTGGACCGAGGCATTGAAGAGGGGTTTAGAAAGGGTATTTCCTCAGTGTTCAAGTCCTCGAGTAGGATTCTGAACTTCCAGGAAATCCAAGATGTCCTCCGTGTACAGGGTGTCATAAGTATTGCTTAAGGGAACAATGGAAAATGGACCTGCTATGCCCGAAAAAAGTGTTATTGTTATTGCTATTATAAAATCTCAATTTTGTTGAGGAAAACACTGAACTTTGTCCTTTGGAGAACTTAGCCTTGGTGGTGGCACGTTAGTGGAAGCGCTGTAGCAGTGTGGAGTGTAGGGGAGGGCCTCTAGCACCTATGAGAGGCAGGCGTAGGTGCTTGAGAATTAAGGGAGAGTGCAAATCGAAACCGATAATATGTTGTTTAACATGTTCGGTTTTATATCAAGGAAAGAAAAAGGGGCCGTTAATGACCGTTGTGACAAAGAATTGTCGGTTTTTTCTTCAAAAGTAGTTTTGAATTTGTTTATGAGAACTGTTATCACATTTTTGTTATGGTTCAAGTTTGGGCTTTGCCTGGGTCAAAAATGATTGGGCTTTTGTCTTCCAACAAAAGAAGCATTGAGCAAATAATCTATTAGCAATGTTATAATTTCTCAGACCTGCCCTTGGACTCGGACATTTTGATCAGCACAATTGATTGATTCGCTTCAAAACATGAAAAAAAAAAAAAAGAAAAGAAAATAAGCACAGGGAGCACGTAAATTGGATTATTGGAACTTGGAAGGTGTAGAAGATGGTTAGTCTGTTAGGCATATAAGAACAAGTTAAAACAAGACAACTGAATTCTAATTAAATATTTTAGAGAAAATAATCACCTCACTTGTAAGAATTGATATCAGCTTCATTGCTGTTAGAAATGACAACTTTTTTCAAATAAAAAATCTGCAAGTCCTTGCTGCTTCAGTCATTTGAACACTCCTCATAATCATGTCTCTAACAAGTCACCTCGGAACTGATAGACCAAACTCTATGGCAACAGAGAATGCACTCAAATCAGAGAGTTATTAGCAGAAACCATTCTACAATGTGAAAATTATGCAGAGATAATAGCACTTAATCCCAATCAACATACAAATGCAGAAGCCCAATCTCAACAAATTAAGAAATTTATGAATGCTGTTAATGATATCTGGTTTTGAACTTATATAAAAAAAGCTTAAGGCCTTCCAGAAGGTTGTACAAACTTCTAAATGTAAGAACATTTAAAATGTCATTATGCTTAGATCATCTAAAGTCGTTTCCCACAGTGTTCAATGCTAAACTCAAATGAAGAATAGATGACAGGATCCACCACCAGAAACAGCCACTTCTCACGTACCATCAACTCCATCTGGGAAAAGGAACAGTTATGTTACCACCGTGTTCTAGATCACTCATAATTGAATCACTCTAAGTGCAATATATTGAAGTCAAAATATTTTATTCCACAAAGATGATTTGGTCATATCCTAACCTCTATTGGACTATTGCACAACTCGTTATAATGGATTCACCAGGTCTATGCATCTACTACACCTAGGGATGGGCTAATCATCCACAGTGATGTATAAGCAGATGGTGAAAAGAAGAATTTGTCAAAAGAATGAAGCAATCGTAGGCAAAAATCACAAAGCTGGGTGGAAGGGTAGAGTGGGGTGGCAGATTTTAAGATGAAATTTTGATGTTATATCTTTTCCTATAACATATGCACGATTAATTACCAGGAAGGCAGGAAGAAAACAATGCACAGAGTGCACAAATGCAGGAATAAGATGGAACGTTCCAATGCCACAAGTATAAAGGAACAACATGTGTCAGATTTAATAGAGGCTTTCTTTTCCAGAAATAAGAAAATTTTAAAGAAGGGAACTGATTTAGATTTTAAAAAGAGAAATGTGAAATAAGGCTCTATCCTGATGCAACTAAATACTTTCAAAATCACTAGAGCAGCACTCATTGTTTCGTACTTGAGAATGAAGATGGACCGGTCACTGTAAATTCCCACTTTATTTCTTTCAAGCATATTGAACTTATGTGCCTGCAGGAACCAAATATTGTGGATCTGAGATGGAAATCATTTGTGATAGCCAAGCAGTTAAGAAATCAACATTCTTCAAATTAAAGCAGCATATGAACTATAATTTGGATCAGACCTTTCAATTCATGAAAGCTTGCATCTTGATATTTTCCTACAATATTTGTGTCTGCCACATACGACATACCTCATAAGTTTGATTTTGAAAGAAAAGTTTTTAAGGGTACATGACTCGCCTATCCAATGCAAGGTGGGTTATTTGACCATGAAGATAGAGTGTTTCTGTGCCTAATTGGCTAATTCAATGAATGACTACAGATACAAGTTATACACCTTTTCCATAACTCTCTTTCTGCAAAACCATAATATTCCTTGCTTGTCTTATATGTGCATGGTCTACAGTCTCCACAAATACTCAGCTTCAAGACAGAGAGAGAGAGAGAGAGAGAAACAGAGATTTTGCTAGTTGCTTCTTACTTCTAAAAACTTGTTTAAAAAAATATATTTTGAAGAATTAAAAATAAAAATTTGGCATTCATGGTATCATTATTTTTTAATTGGTGTTAGCTAGCTATTTGCTCATTTTAATCAATATAATCCTGCTCTTATTCTTAAAGCTTTCACCGACAACTATAACAAAGACATCACATTTACAAAAAAATCATTCAGTATACTCATGTTACCATCTTAATACCCGAAATATTGAGCTAGGAAAACAAACTTAATCAATTTAAACAGCAAATTCAAAACCAACACCAAGAAAGATGAAATAAAAACAGATATATACAATCATATTAATATTTGGAGAAGCAGAAAAGAAAAAAAAACAAAAAACTACTCACAATAAAAAAAAGATAAAACAGTACTAGAGGCCTGGATAGGTGCAGCAGAGTGTACCCTGAGAAAGAGCCCGGCAACTCTTCGATGTTGTGCTTAGGCATGAACTCAACCTCGCCGCCGCCACAGCACTGTGCAGTGGCAACAGTGACTGCGCACATCCCAGCTCCGACGGACACCTAAAACAAAAGTTAAACTTCTAAAAAGTATTAAAAAAGCAGCAATTTCCTATTTAGAAAAACGAATAGTTACAGAAAATACAGAGAAATATAATTTAGAAAATGGAAACAGAAAAGTCTTTTTTATTTCTTTTTCTAGTACCTGGAGAAAGAGAAACGGCGAAGAGGAGAAGTGGATTGGGAGGGGAGAGGTGATCGAGTGGAGGAGGGAGCAGCGGCGGATCTGGAGAATGGGGATTTGAAACCGTTAGGTCTAAAGGCGGATTTGATGGAAGATGATGATCTACTAATGAATCTGTTGCAAGTTGAAGCCATTTGGGAGAAAAATTTTCTTTGAAGGAGATAGTGAATTCAAAAACTTGTTAACAGAAGCTCAAAACTTGGAAAATATGACAACACGAGAGAACAGGGTCTAGGGTTTTAGCGATATGAAGCAAGTATCTGATTTGGTCAATTGTTCGATCGGGTCGGTTAACCCATTGAACCGATATGGTTTAAAAGTACAATTGGTGTAAAAATGAAAATCTGCTTTCTCTTTCCTACATTACACCTTTGGAGTTTGGAGTTGCGTCAAAGTGCGAGTGTACTGTGTTTTGTGGCTTAAAGTTCAACTGAAGTAAAATTCAAGATTCCTCGTTAGATTACATTGTTCCCCTCTTTTACCATGTTTAAAAAAGAAGAGAAAACACGTTTTTTTTTCTTTTTTAAAAGCCATTCTATTTCTATCGAAAATTTTACCTTCAATTTTTTTAAAAAAAATTTAAAATAAATAAGTTATTTATTTTTTTATATCAAAATAAAATATATTATATTTAACAACATAAAATAAATGATTATAAATTATACATTTAAAATTATTTCAATAAATAATTATTGATAAAACTTAAATTTAAAATTTTTTTATTAAAAAAATAAATTTTAATTAATTAAATCAATCATTTATTATTATCTTTAATTATTTATTATTTTATTCTCCGGTAGTAAATTGTACTGATGATGTCAAACTGGCTGAGGCATTAGCTTTGATGGGAAGGTTCTTCGTTGATTCCTTTTCTCTCCATTCCTTTCGTTTCCCTCGTCACCTCAGTCCTAATTGTAGGGTCAAGAGCTTTTTCTTTCATTATTCTTTTATATTCCAAAAAGGTAGCGCACCTTTAAAGAAGTTTGAACCATATAATATAAAAAGGAAAAAAAATCGTACTATAAAACAAGAAAAAACATATAACACCAAGAAATATACAAAAGAAAAAAGAATCACAAATATGTATGTTCTTAAAACCAAAAGAATTGTTTCAATCCATTTTTGGGTGTGAACAATTTTTTTTCTTCACCCATAAATAATCCTATAAAAAAAGGAAAAAGAAATGTTTAAGAGAGCTAAAAATTATAAAAGCCCCTCAAGTAATCATCGAAAGAAGGAAAAAAACTACCACTTCCAAAGAAAAAGGCCACTTAGATGATCTACAATTCAGGCCAATACCTTTGTTAGAAGAAGTTTCAGATTCTAGTAAAGAGCTGAACTTGAAGTTAGGATTTGAGCCATACAAAGCTTGAACACCTTCCACATCATCGAGTTTCAGGTCCACTCTCCTACTACGCGGTCTCAAGCTCGGATACATCACGGCTTCCTTGACCGAACTATGAGCCAAGCCAAGTATATGACCTATCTCGTGCGTCGCCACGGATTCCAAATCAACAGCCGCCTCTGATTTCACTTTCTTAAAATCAATGGCCCACGTTTCAGCTTCATCAAGATGAAACCTCCCATTCTCTGGCGCAAAAGCATGCGCTAACACTCCTAAAACCCCATCGAACGGTTCGCCGTCGCCGTGATCGCCGCGGTAAAACCCGATTCTGATATTAGCTGATTCATAATCTTCTATCTCAGTAAAGTTTACCGGAATCACCGAAGCCCACCTCGAAAACGAGCGTTGAAAAACTGTTCTAATTTCCAATAAGCTTATGTAATCGATCATGTTCGAAGGCGAACAAGCATACGTTAAAGTCATAGGCGATCCAGGCCCCCATCTTGGCGTTCCATAAAAATAGGCAAAATGTTTGGTTGCATGGATTCTGGGGGCGGTGTCTGAAACGCCGCACCTAGGCGACATGATTGCTGATATCGTGTCGGAATCGAGCTGGCCTGTTACCGGTAACCCGAGCTTTTGTTGGTATAAAGTAACGGCAGATTCGAATTGAGTGTCGAAAACGTCAGTGAAATTGTCGTTTTGGTTATCTGGAAGTGAGAGGTAGCCGAAACGTTGGAAGTATTTCTTGAGTTCCGACATGCCGCTGACGTGGCTACCCTTCTCGGCGTCTTTAAAGCGAGTAAAATTATGCCACGTGGCTTTGTGAGTATCGGTAGTTATGACAGTTATTTTTTCCGGTGTGATTCTGGCGGTAAAACAAGGACGTGGAAAAAAACAGAGCAAAAGAAGGAAGAGGAAGGAATGGTAACCAAACAACGGAAACATAGTTTCTGTTGTTAGCTTCTTTAAAGGGATTAAAGCTTAAAATCGAAGGAGTGGGTAGGTTTTTATTATGAGATTAGGTTAGGATTAAATCCCAAAAATAATTGAATTTTTAAAAAATTTTATAACAATAATAATTGAACATAGCAAAGATAAGATCGAGGAACAAGAAAAATCATGAGAAAGTTCCATAGATTTTGCCGCGCGCGCCTTTCATTGAAGGCAGAGAATGGTGGATTAATCACTGATTCAGTTTCTAATTATATTTTTAATTAATATTTGTGGGATTAAAGTGGGGGATATACTTAATAGTTATAGTTTGACTTGATTGGTTCACATATGGTTTAGGTTTATTGTTGTTTGTTGACCAAATTAGCTGATTTCAGCATTGGTTGTTTTTCAAATCACTTGGCAGTTTCCGTTGAGGTTTTCTCTTGTTCTAACTTGTAATGCATGACAATTCTCGTTGACCCAAGTTCTTCAATTGCGTGTTTCATGTTTCCATCAATTGGATCGTTGCTTTTGAAGGGGTTTGGCAGTTTTACAACAAAATGAAAATTCAAGAATTTAATAAGTTCAGCATTTACTTGGAAATTTCCTGAGGAAAAAAGAACAGGAAAACTCAATCAATGGAAATTGTATTCATGAATGCACTAATCTATACGGCCAATTTTCTTGACATGTCCTTTTCCTTCATTCTCTTCGTTTACAGTTTTTTTTTTTTTTTTTTTATGCATGCAATCGTTTCTAATTAAGTTACAGTTTTGATCATTTATGATTAATTAAGATGTTAGAATGATATGAATAAGCAAGCAAATTAAGGATTATCGTGCAAATTTTGTGTTTAAAATGTTCATGAACAAGTTAATTGGAGTGTGAGAGGAGTCCAAGTTTTAAGTTGAAATTTTTTTTTTGAAGTTTTTAATTTGCTTTTAAATCCCTTACCTCGCTATACACTTAATCGAAAAAAAATTACATGTCTAAACTGTTTTGAATGTTAATTTCAATAATATATTAATTAATTTAATAAATAATCTACAAATTAAAATTTGGCTAGAAAGAGTGTTTCAATTTTATGAGTTTGGCATGAGCTTACCAAAATTGTTTTTGCTTTGAATTCGGTAATAAAACCCATAAACGCAAAACATAGGACCACTACAGGATGGATTAATTAGTTCAAAATTTTTTATTCTTTAATAAAAGTACATATATGATATAACCATCAATGCAAGGCTGCTCTGCTGTTAGCAACCATTTCCATTTCCTGTCAATAATTTTGTTTTAATCACCAAATTACATCATCCTCACCCCCTAAATAATCAAATTAATTTCGAAATATTAATGTAAAGATTGTTAAGTTGCGTTCGTCGTGAGGTAATGTTCATTTTAGAAACAAATACACGCATCAATAAAGGAAGAGTATTTTTATTTATAAAATTATAGATCAAAAATTGACTATTTATCTCTCAAAACAAGAGATGATGATGACTGTTTATTTGTGTTTGTAAATAAGGACATTTAAGGCCAAAGTCTTCTAAGGTTTCGCTTTCAAAAGTGCAATGAAGTTATCTTGATAAATGGGAATGCTACTCCACTACGAATTACTATACTTCTTTGTTTTATCAATTAGTGCCATTGGCTATTTCAATGGGTCCAAGCCCCTCTTGCTTTCCCTTTCATATCTCCAATTATTTGTTCATCTTTTGGACTTTGTCAGGAAAGCTGATGATTAATACCCTTGATTCTTTGATCAAAACTATATAATGTTTGGAACACCTATAAGTGTTGCTTCCACTTTAAGTATAAAGAAATACATGCATTAATTAAAAATATTTAGGGAAGAAAGGTAAACTACTTTAGAAGTAGCCATGGATGATGTCATGATGAATGGGATTTTGAGAATTATCAACTGACTTTGATGATGAATTCATCAAAAGTTAAATGAGCAGGGTACGCAATTCAATCAAACCATCGTTAAAATGATAGGACTTAATTACTGGAATTTACGAAGTGACTGAAGCCATTTACTTCACCCCATGAAATGGAAACTCCTATCACCTAATGCCACGTCGTTCCCTGTGGATCCATGATTTTATACAAAGATTTCAATGTAGTTTCTTAAACGTGTTTACTTCAAAGTCCGTATTTGACTAACTGTTCACCTCATCAAGACTTTGATTTTTCACTGTAACCATGATTAACAATCAAATTAAAATAAAAACAATTCTTGGTCATTTAGGAATCGAGAGAGATTAATTTAGATTAGTGTAAAATTAAAATTTGTTTAATTATTAATTTCAATAAATCTAAAAAATAAGTGAAAAAAAAGATTTAATCTTATTTTTAAATTTATTAAAATCAATAATTAAAAATATATAAAAAATATGTAAAATTTTTTTGATATGAATTAATCTCTTCCCTTTAAGAATTAGAATATATATAAGACGTAAAATTTTTTTTAACAAATTAATCCTTTTTTTTTTTTAGCATTTCAAAAGCCCATATACCTAAGAAGGTTGAGACTGGATCTCGGTCCATCAAAGAATGGTTAACGAGGGCCCAATAATTAAGAAATTAGAGGTGAGCCCAATATCATGGAGCCTGTATTTGAACCTGGCTTACAAAAGCCTTCACAATTTGCTATCTAAATGATAAAATTAAAAGAATTTCATTTCACTTTTCTAAATTTGAATTCAAAAGGAAGTCCACTCACCGCTAGCCTTGGGACAAAAAAAATACATGCCACTGGTCTAAAAACATCATGATGTAAGTAAGCCTTCTTTAATCGTAATTTAAATCCTTATTGTAAGGCATAATCATCAAAACATTAACTTTCCCTTCCATCAAATGGTCTCCGGTCTCCACGCCACTTTTATGTATACTCAATTCTTTAAAAAAAATAATATTTAATTACGAATTTAACTTGGAAAAAATAAAAATCATGAAAACAACTGGACCTTAAATCAATATTTTCTTTCCCTTTATTCACTCGCATTTGGGACTTTGAATAGGGATATCATCGAGTCGGGTTCGGGGTGAGTTTTGCTCGCCCTCGAATTCGACCCGATTCGATCGATACTATGTAAATCGTACTCGATTCGAATCGACCCAAAATTTATAAAAATATTATTTTTAAAATATAAAATATTATTTTTTTAAATATAAATATTTAAAAATATCATTATATAAATATATAAATATATAAATATATAAATAATTAATTAATTAAAAAATAATTTTTTAATAAATATCGGATCGGGTTTTAGGCATATCCGACCCCAATTGTTACATAATTTTACCCGACTCGACCCCGACTCGAAACTCGAAATTCAAAAAAAAAAAAAAACCCAACCCTATAGGGTCAGGTCGGCCCGAAACCCGTCGGGGACGGGCTTGATTGCCGTCCCTAACTTTGAATATTACCCTTGAATCTGCAGCTGCAGCGCCATGGACACTCCACTTATAATCCATGTGTTGTGAATTTAGAGAAGAGTCATAAATTTTATATTAATTATGTATTAAAATTAATTTTTTGATATAAATGTTTATATCATATTCAATTTATGAAAATATTTTTTATGGAATAAAATTATGATATTTAATAAAATTAAAATAGATAATATCTCATAAATTAATATGAATTGTGATATTTGATATTAAAATCAATTTTAAGATACTAGTGATAGTTCATCAATGATGATGAACTCTCGTTAAAGTAAAAAGAATGTCATGATTTTATAGAAGAATTATAACTCTCATTCGCATGTGTTATAAAGTTAATATTATGATACAAATATTCATATCACTTGCACTATATACTAAAGTTAATATTTGAACATAAATATTTATATCACTTTCAATTTATAAAGTAAAAACTATTAAAATTAAATAAAATCAAAATAAATAATATCTTTCAAGTTATTATAAATCGTAACAAATAATTTTAGCACTTACAAAATATTATATTTTGTGAGTATCTTTTATATTTGACATCTGTTTTTTGTAACTTGAAAATTCATAATTAAAATGAAATAATTTCGGTAGCTTATAATAAACTCATAACTATCTTCATTCTTATCAAAACTGTTTTAAAAAGGTTTTTGCTTGTGAGTCGTAATACACAAATTAATTTTTGAACTCTAACATCCCAAAAAAACAATAATGTAACGATTTTGAAAAAGATTTGTAGATTGGAGACAATATTTGTGAAGTTTTACAAAGTTCACGAAGTAAGTTAAAAGATCACAGGGGAAAATGATGGTTGCAGAAAAACCGGAACAGTTGGAGACAGAAGTCGGCTTATTTTTACCTGCTAAAGTCCCAGATTTCATGAAAAATATCATGAAATTGAAAGAAAAAAAGTAGAAAAACTTGCCTCACGTGCACTTCAAAATACAGTGTTATTTTCACTTTTTAGTGAATAAAGACAGCAGCAGCAGCAACAACATTAGTTGATAAAATCAATGTCTTGAGAGGGATGTTATCAATTGACATTGGTCTTGGGCCCCTGTTTTTCTCCCAAGTAAAAACCCTTTCAACAAAGACATTTTCTTTTTCTTCATCCAATAAGGAGATCAATTCCACCATTAAATTTTAGTTAATAGAAATTTTGGAATTATCTATCCCTGTAAGATGTTGATTGAAACTGATAAAGCAGGCGAGACCCTTAATTTTTGTTTTGAATTGAATTCAACATTTAAATTGACAAGGCTGCAGCCGGATTTTGGATTTTTTTCTTGTTGTCCAAACGATAGCCTTCGAGCTAAACTAATTTGATTTTTTTTCTTTTTTTTTTTTATGGTCAGGAATTTTCTAGACCTTGCAAAGTGAAAAAAGAAAAATCTTTGGTAGCGAATCTTTCAATTGAAGCATATTTGAATTACTGGCTCTGTCACCAGTGATAGGACAGCTTAGGGATAAGCTTTCATTGAATGTGGTTGAAAGTGGAGTTAACAAGAGGGGGGGGGGGGCTGTGGCATCTCAGTTCTAACTTCTAAGCTCTCCTTCTCTTGCTGGGCCAAGCTTAAGCCATAGATCTATACTTGAATTAACAAGTCAATCTAAAACCACCCTAGTCCTAGGCTTCTTTAGCTGATTCGAAGCACACTTGATGGTGGTAAAAACAACAGTCCAAGGCATCTAAAGGAAGAAAAAACCCTAAAAAAAAAACTTGAAAAATAGTCATAGTATATTGAATAAAACTTGGGATTTCTAGTTTTATTCTGTGTCTTGAAATTGGATTCCATTCTTCACGTTCTTCTCGTCCCCATTCTTGTTGGCAAATACAAGGCTGGTATGTGATAAAGTAATGCTTTTACAGTTTTACAAAACAAGCATGCTCATCCATCTTGGCCAAATTATTTTGACATAAACATAAAAAAGAGACGGTGCTATATATAGCCTCTGATAAAGGTCTGTGCCAGTGTGCTTCTTTTTTGACATTGAAACTGACCCCTTTTTCTTGGGATTTCTTGGTTTCATCATTCATGGGTTTGTCATCTAGCTTTGCCTTATCCAATACCTATGAAAGTTCCACGTCGCAAATCAAAGTAAAGATAAAAAAAAAAGAAAAGAAAATCAGCATTATACTGGATTTTCTTGTCATTGTGTGTGCTTGTTTGGTCTTATATATGCAAAGAGTTTATTTATGTATTTTTGAAGTATGCAAATGCTTTAGTTTTCTCTGTTTTGTTGATGAAATTAAAAAAAAAAAAAATTGAAAAAAAGAAAACAAATAAATACTTCAATTAAGACCGATTATAGTATTTTTTATTTTAATGATTTTAAATTACTCAATTTAAAAACGCCTTTTATTGCATAGAAAAGCTGCCGTCTCAGTGTTTTGTATTTTGTCTTTTTCATTGATTGTTATTATCTTCCTTAACAGTTTACAATAAAAAAAAAGCATGTTTTACTGTTTTACATAAAATTTTATTTATATTTATATACTAACTAAACCAAATTTGGCAAAATCCTTAAACATCCAAACCAGTTTTTTATTTGATTTTATTTTTATATGCTATAAATGAAATTTTTTAATTTTATAAATAAAGTAAAAAAATTGACATATACATAATTTTTAATTAATTTTTTAAATATATTTTAAAAGATATATGTAACTTTTTAAGTCTAATTTGAAATTAAAAATTATATTGAAAATAAATGAAATAATTTATCTTTTTTATTCAATTTTCTTACATTTTAAATTCAAATTAAATTCTTATATCCATATCTCAGTAGTCACTAATCAGACATTAACTACTCTACGACCACGTTATTTAATATTATTACTAAATTGACCCTGGTCTTAACCAGAATTTCCAAAATCGGACTCATAATTAGCGGATAAAAAACCGTTGTCTACGTTCTTCAACTTTCTTGTCAATCGGAGTAAAGCTGAGCATCATTCATTCTCTCTTCCCTTAACAACTATTATTAATTTTTTTTTTAAATTTTGCATTTATAAATAATAAATTAAAATTATTTAAAACACGCACATCACTCTGCTCTTTTGCTCATTCTCTCTTCGCTTTTTCTTTCTCTGTTCACATTTCACAGTAACCTCCAAAGTCTGCCGCTTTTCGAAAGACTTTGAGAGTGTCGATAGTAAGAAAAAAAGAAGGAAAAACCCTAATTATTCTTCAATTTTGACCTCCGCATTCGCGTTATTTACAGTCATACCGTTCCGTCTCCTTTGCACTCAGTCTTCTTTACTCATTGGTGATCGTAGTCGTTGGGAAGAGCGGGGGGTGGCATTTGGCGTAAATAAGTGATGAAGTTGAGTGCGGAGTCGTTTTTGCCCTTTTTGTTGGCTCCGTGATGGGTGTAGCTAATGCTTGGAGGTTTAGCGTGATATCGGCGAACCTGGCGCTGTTACAGCATCCGAACGGCAGCATTCCAGGCAACAAGATTGTGTGTTGGAAGTGGCGATCCTCTGCGGTGCAGCAGAGGAAGCCGATCTCGTGGCCGCTCATCTGTGGCTTGATGCTCTTCTGCTTAGGCATGATTTCGCTCTTCACTGGACACGTGGCGTCTGATCTCGACTGGTACTCTCAACGGCTTGTGAAACGAAGTCTCTATTTCAAATTGGTAAAATGACCAAAAAAAACTCTAACTTTGGTTTTATTTATGTTTTTAAAATATTGAAATTTTTAAAAAAATGTTTGTTTTCCTAATTTTCATGCAAATGCTGTAGGATGGAAGTAATAAAGCACCGATTGATATATGGAAATCCGAAAATGCAAAATACTACTATGGATGCAGCAAAAGAAGTCGTAAATTTCGTCGTACGTTTTATTTATTTGTTTTTTCTTTTAAATGCACTGGTTTATTTATGGGAATTTTGGTGTTCTTTACATAAAAATGGATTAAGAAGGAAATTTCAATCCTAATAGGATTTGTTAGTCTGCTCAAATATGTTAGTTTTATCTGTACTTCGACACTTGTTTGTCAGTATTTAATTTATAACTATGTTAACTGGTGCTAAAAATAGTTGCATTAGATGTTTATGTTAGTTTACTTGTTATGCGAAGTTCTCATTTTTCTTATTGGGAACTGAGAAGTTCCAAATAGTCTGCATCTTTAAGTTTGCTTTAGATTCTTTTGATGGCAGCCAGTAAATTCTTTGGTTCTGATGTTAGCAAATGCAAATCTATGGTACTCGTATTTCTATTAGTAGTTGATAATGTTGCAAAGGATGTGCCGATAATACATCATACAGTTAATTGGTTACAACAATTGTTTAGCTTTTTCTTACTTGACTGTTTGTTTTGCTTAAATAGATTTAGAGCTTTGAATTTGCCGAAGTTTATTAAGAGTCAGCTGATAATATTGGTGTTTAACTTTGAAGATTAAAACTATGGAGTGGATTCAGAAGGAATTAACTCATTCTGAGCAATTTACGGAGGCTTCTTTTTTTATAGCATAAGTTTTCAGTAAAATAGTTCTAATTACCTGATGTCCTGTATCATCTGTTTTTACTTTTTAGAAAAGAATCCGTTCAACACTGTTTTCTTTTAAGTTTCTCCAAACCAGTCACTTAAGTTCACTGATTCTTCATTTGTGTTGATAATTTGACATCTAGATGCTATACGTGAGCGATCATCAAATGGTTATTTGCTTATTGCAGCAAGTGGAGGACTGAATCAACAAAGGACAGGAGTAAGTGGAATTATTTATATATTATACTATATTTTGGGGTAAATGTCCTAATGGAAGATCTTGTAATTGCATCAAGACAAATGTAACTTATCTATGAGTGTCTACAGAGTACTGTTACTCCTGCATTATATATATTGAACCGATAAGCTTTGCTTTAGTTGATTTGAATAAATTGAGTTGCAAAATGCCTCTGAGATTAGGCATTCTACTGAATTTATTATCTCCACTGACCCTGCGTGTGCTATTTGTTTAGAATTAATAATTTGCTTCTGGCACTCAGATATCAGATGCTGTAGTTGTTGCACGGATTCTGAATGCAACCTTAGTGGTGCCTGAGTTGGATCATAATTCGTATTGGAAGGATGATAGGTAAGTTGAATGAGCTTATTAGAAGTCATGCTTAATTGATATTACCATATTCCTCTGTTACCTTGTTAAGTGCCTTTTTTTTTTCTTTTTTTCTGACATGCAGCGACTTTGTCAACATTTTTGATGTCAACTGGTTCATTTCATACCTTGCAAAAGATGTTACTATTGTCAAAAGGGTTCCTGATAAATTCATGCGATCAATGGAAAAACCTCCTTACACTATGCGTGTCCCAAGGAAGTCCCCTCCAGAATATTATCTAGACCAAGTTCTGCCAATACTTAAAAGAAGACATGTAAGACCACTTTCGGATATCACTAATGCTATTTAGGTTGATAGTAGAAATAATTTCCACAACTGAACTTTCTGTTTCTTGTTCACTGCAACTTCTGTATTTTTGTGAAATTAAATGCATTTAATTCCACGAATTGTCAAGACTTCTAGTATCTTTGGGTTAATGAGATTGAAATTAAACTAGATGAGAGATGCTAGAAGCTATTAACTTCAATTTCCTTAAAGTTGTCTGGGCTGGAAAGAAGTAATAAGCAAAGAAAATAATAATGCCGCGATTATAGTAATTTTTCATGTATGTTTTATTTCTCCTCCTTTGGAGTCTGATTAGTAGCTTAGAAGAAAATCTGTTAGTAACAATTTCTCTCTCTCTCTCTCTCTCTCTCTCTCCTGGTTTTACGGTTCAAAAGTGAGAGTTTTAAACTTCCTATCCTTTTATCTTCTCTGTATCTCTCCAATCCAAGCACCATGTTAGTAGAATATTCTTATTATACTTTTTCTAGGATGTTATGGTTCTCATGTGGGAGTGCAGCAGTTAACACTGAAAATTTTGTAGGTCCTGCAACTGACAAAGTTTGATTACAGACTGGCCAACAACATCGATGAAGAGCTACAAAAGTTACGTTGCCGGGCTAATTTTCATGCTTTAAGATTTACAAAACCTATTCAAGAACTTGGACACAAACTTCTTATGAGAATGCGTGAGACTGCAAAACGTTTTATTGCAGTCCATTTGAGGTTTGTTCTGAATTCCATAAAGGTAGAATTTAACTTTTGAAAGTTCTGTGCATATCAAAAGGAACTTTGACCTGTAACCTTTTGAGATGTGCCTCTTGAAATTGGGTTGTCAGTAATCCATGGGGACATATCTTCAATAAAACACCGCATACTTCAGAATTAGCCTGATTACACTTATTTTGAAGTCCCTTCACTTGCAGGTGATGAACTCTAAGACTTTAAACCAGATAAGCTAGTGACAATATAGAATACCTTTCCCTCAAAATTTTGGAAATGCATCTTAACTTTAGTGAGTTTATATAAACATTATGATATGTTTGACGTTGTATCCAGCAACTACTTTCTTCATCAATGACTCCTGCAGCACTTCAATATCTGAGTGCATGTGTATTCAGTAACAGCACATTGGCTCATTCGGATATGCATAGAGAAATATTCTTTAAGTATGATTTGAAACTCTGCAAAGACCTGTTTTCCTTATCTGAGTCAAACTCTTTTAATTACAGATTTGAAGCTGATATGCTAGCATTTTCTGGCTGTTACTTTGGTGGAGGCGAAAAGGAGAGATACGAGCTGGGTGAAATACGAAAACGATGGGAAACATTACCTGTAAGATGCCTTCTTTTATGACTTCTGAACCGGTTATCTCTTTATTATAACACAATAAGACATGTTTTCAGAATGAGTACTGCATTTATCTAGTAAAGTTTCCCTCATCTTTGTATTCATGCAGGATTTAGATGCTGATGGAGAGAGAAGGCGAGGTAAATGTCCACTTACTCCTCATGAAGTAGGATTGATGCTGCGGGCACTTGGTTTTGCAAATGACACATACATCTATGTTGCATCTGGAGATATATATGGTGGAGAAGAGACTCTGCGACCACTACGAGATCTCTTTCCAAACTTCTATACAAAAGAGATGCTTGCTAATGAAGAGCTGAAACCTTTTCTTCCATTCTCTTCTCGCCTTGCTGCCATTGACTACATTGTTTGTGACGAAAGTGATGTTTTCGTCACTAATAACAATGGAAATATGGCCAAGATTCTTGCAGGTAGAAGGTGAGAAATCTAGTTATTTCTTGTATCATGCGTATTTCTGGTAACAGTCCGTGTCTTCATATATTAGCTAACTTTTTAAAGTTAAATCTAGAAATTAATTCTGTTGAATTAATTTAATGAAGATGTGAAATTTGGACCAGGCTCCAGAGACATCAACCATGAGCAATAATAGTGGCTAATATTTACCTCTTTGGTGGTGTTAGCTTAGACGTTAAATGTTACATCTGAGAATATATAAAGCATGAACTTTAATGAACATCTTCAGTTGAAGGTTTGGTATCAAACTGCTTATTATAGGCTCCATATGAGAGTGTCTTTTTATTTCTTTGCATTTTACATAGTTCAGCATTTAATGCATATTTAGCATGGTGTTGTATCTCTTTGGACTTTCCTTGATTCTTCATGATTGCATGTTGGTATTCAAAGGAGGTACATGGGGCACAAGAGGACCATAAGACCAAATGCCAAGAGGCTCAGTCCTTTGTTGATGGAAAGGGATCAGATGGATTGGGATACCTTTGCCAGAAAGGTGAAAGCGGTTCAAAGAGGATTCATGGGAGAGCCCGATGAGATGAGACCAGGACGTGGTGAATTTCATGAATATCCATATTCTTGTATCTGCGAAAAGCCACCCAGTGATGATGTCAACAAGAGTAGAGATTCTCAGAACAAGTCACAGGAAATCAAGGATTTAGGAAGAGAAACAAGGAAGAAGAGACAAGTTTAGGAGCCGAGGAGAATGAAGAATTTTTTCCTGACTAGGGGAAAGAACAATGCTGCAGGTTGATTTCATGACTGGAACTTGTTTTTCTATTGATTGATAATGATCTAACATACCTGACGCCCCCTGCCGAATTTAATGCCATCTTTTGTGTTATGCTGGCGGAAAATTTGACAGAACATACCATTTGTGCCAAAACAAAGAGAAGGAAGTTCTTCCGCTTTCTTCTCAGTTTCTTTGCTGATCCACAAAAGAATTTCATCTTTTTTGTACAGGTAAAGGAAGCTTAATATATTTCAACTGTTAATATATATATTATTAGGCAAATAGGTATGTAGTTACAGTAACGTACAATACTGGAGCTTGCTTACGTGGACTATTCAATTCAAGCGTTTAATGATCAATTTATTCAAGATATTGGTCATAAATCATGATTCTTTTCCTTTGCTGCACATGCTTTGCACTTATAAGCCATGACGAACTTGGGCATTTGAGTAGGCACTCATTGGGCAGCCATCGAAATTATCAAAATGCTTAGCTTGATTATACAGCAACAAACATCAGCGTGATAACGCACCAGAAAGTAGAGCACATTGCTTTCTCCAGCATATGTGCTCATCATTTTAAGTTGTCAAGGTTAAGAAAAGCTTCAGGAGCATCGAGAACCAATAAGAAACCCCATGACTTTAATCTATGCCGAAAGAGAACGCTGGATAAGCTATTTGAGCAGTTAAACAACAAAATATATGGGCTGATCACTTGCAATGGTGCTCTGCAAATATCAATCAAGCCAAACTACATGAAGACAGTCCATATACAAGCTAGAAGGGCATGGCCTACAGAGTGCAGTTTATAATTGTAAAAGAAACTAAAAATCAGTATAAATATCTACTGCTATATCTCAAAAGCCAAAGAAGCAATTTCCATTCCTATCTTTCTCTCTCTATCATAATTTACACAAGCTACACTGGTGTATGTTGGTCATATCCAATAATCTCTGAATTCCTTTTAGACTGGATTCCGTAGTTGCAAGAATGCTCCTCCTCAACCTTGATTATTTCCTGTCATAGTAATGACAGTTATCCATACATGCATCAGCTCACATTCAGCAACAAACAAGGCTAAAGGACAGCAAATCACTTCAGGAAAACCAAGTGATAAGAAATTTAAAGTTCACCTCTAGTACTCCTGCTTTGACTTTTGTGACTTTTGTCATGGGAAACAGAAGGAATTTTTGAGATGATCAATGAGCTTTGTAGTCCTTCCAATAGCTGCGGGCAACAAAAATGATCCATAAGCAGATCAGAACAAAATATAAATGAAAGCATAAAAATACGTGTTAGTGATGATAACTAGTTTTCCTTCTTTTCCATAACATAAATAATTATCATCATCACTGTACTCAGACAATTAAAGCTAGAAAGGATAAGACAGTGGCAGATGGTGCAGGTAAAGTGAAATCCTAGAGGGAAGTAGAGCATATCCTAGTTGAATATAGTCGGCACCAAGCACAGGTATCTCCTTTGAAGAAGTAAAAACGGTAAAATACAACACTTTTAAGTTACCATTGCCATTCAACAATATATATATTCTATATGGTTTGAAACAACCAAAGTAACATACCTTAGAAGCAAAGTTTAAGAATACCCGATATCAAATTTATATTTTTTGCCACATATCCTTTTAACCAAATATGTTAATTTCATAACTAAATATTGATTTCTTTATTTACAATCAAATGGAAATATGGCAAAGATGCTGGTTGTGAAGTCTCTGAACTCCACTAGTGGTGAATAGGATAATAATCCAAAACCTTTGCCAACCACCCTGCCAATTTCATTTCCTTATTCACCTTCAGGGGAAATGTATTCCAAGCAACCCTTACTTCCAAACTTGGTCATTACAAAAAGTCTGAAACCAGGAATTTATATAACATGTCACCCCCTTACCTTTACAAGCAAAGAATTTTGCAAAGCATAACTCAAAAGTTAACAGGTTACATGATGTCCAGGCAAAGAACTCCAACTAATTTTCAAAAAATAGAGTAATATAAAAATTAAATCCATAAACTAGAAATTTGATACTGCAATATTAAATGCATAAATGATTCCAACTTATCAAATAAGAAAATATCATATCTATTTACTCACTCTTGATGTTGGCTGAATCCTCCGATTAGATCTACGAGGTTCAACAACTTCAGAGACTGTTTTCGATGAATTAAAAACTTTTTCTTCAATTTTAGCCAACTTCCCAGCACCTGGTGCAAGTTTCCCTTTATTAATACGTTTGGATTTAGCATTTGCTGTGGAAGTTTTCTTGGAAGGAGCATCTGACGGGAGAGCCACAGAAGAAAATAAGACTGGGCCCTCTGCTGCTCCATCAGAACTTGAAAATGATCCAAATTCCATCATGTTATGCTTTCCTGATGTATTCTCAGCATGGCTTACAGAATCCTTGAATTTTGACACATCTGCGGCCACAGCATCAGCAGGTTCAGAAGACACACTGTTTGATAAGTTGTCCTTCTGAAGAATAGTTCTACTGGAAACACTAGGCGGTTTTCCAGATTTGAGAACCTTAGGCTTTGATACAGCCATTCGTTTTTCCTTTGGTTCAATTTTATTTTTTGTTCCATAGGGCTCAGATGCTTGAGGCATAAAATATTTTGTAAACTTAGATAAATCACTTGTTTCATGAGTCTTACTCCTCTGATCCACATCGTAATGTTTGCTTACTTCCATAAACTTTCTCTTCTTTCCTGGCTTAGGAACACCAAAAATCACTCTTGATCCTTCCTTCTTTAAACCAGTTCGTGTCATTCTGAGTGGATCAGGCTTACTGTCATCTCCGGTGCTTTTACCAATATTAAATATTTTTTCACTCGCAGATAAGTCCAGCAATCTCATGTCATCAGGTTTCACAGATTCCTCAATGCCAACACTTTTTGAATGCTTATCTTTCCCTTTGGCCTCAACTAAAGGACTGCCTATCCTTGGTCTCTTTTCCTGTGGTGTGTCACCCTGAAGAACAGATCAATGACTTAGTACAAAGAAGCAATTAAAGTATTATCAGAAACATCAAACACAAGTATAAGTTAGCATATCACCTCATGGGTAGAGCCATTATTATCCTGAGAACTGGACCATTCAACCCAACTACCATTCGCCCACATCAGAGAAGGACGAAGAAGCCATGCTTTAACAACAGATGTTTCTCCTTGAGCTGCAATAAAAATAACAAAGAAAACCTTTATTATTCTCAGAGCACAGGCTCCATAGACTTCAATACTAAGCACATTACAATCCAGATTGCTGATAAAATGTTGTACTTGATCACACATACCAGGAAAATGGACAGTAAATGATGTTTCATCTTTCTTGCTCTTCTCAGTGACAACTCCCTCCCACCAGCTGAAAGACAAATATACGAACGTAATTTCAACCACTGGTTTATTTCTTGACAATTAATGTTTTGAAAGAACTTCAAGCAATTGAGGTTCTCCTCTCTCTAAACACAACAAGAAAATACAGGTTGCATAGGAAATACACAGCATTTGATTCACAAAAGTGGTCCAATACGTCCACAAAAACAGGGCTTAAAATGCAATCTTGTATGCTTATAAGTTAAGACCTAGGTTGAACATCAGTTTGTTCAAAAGTTAAATAACTTGTCAGATTAAAAAAAGGAATCAATTTTAGGATTCACAACAAGATCTTTATAGCTTTCCTAAAGGCTGGATTGTTGTTAACTTGTTATTTATAATCACTTTTGTCCACAAACAAGCACAATCTATTTGACGGTATCCAAGAAATTTTCCACTGTTACCATATGCGAACGACAATAATGTAGAATTTATCAGTTGAATAATTTATCTAAGACTATGTATGAAACAATTTTTACACATCCTTTTAACCAATGTTTCCAGTACAGCTACTGAAAGCTTAAAATATCCATAGAGATTCATCTCAAAGTATTATTTTAGGCAATATGACAAATTACTCATGCCGCTAGTCTGGCTAGCAAATAGACAAATTATCCTATGCTACTTCCTCGTAAAACACAGACTTTTTAATGCCCCCATTATCTTCAACAGTACCATTTTTGTCCAATGTACTGCAATAAGACGTAGAAAATAATGCATAAATACCTATCTTGCATCCAGGCATCAACCCTATCTCCAACAGACCAATTATATTCCCCCATGGCCGCCCTGCGTCTCTTCCGTGTTCCTTCAAATGGCATGGCCTTAATAGGACGAGCACTGCGTACCCTGGGCGCTCTATCCCCTTCACCTTCAAGTTGCACCCATTCCTTTAGCCTATCACCATCTATAAGATGAGCAGTCAAAATAGGATTGTTTAGAAAGCCATCATCAATACAAATGGGTGAAACTGAACTTCTAATTTTCTATACCAAGAAAATGCTTTCACATAAGAAACCAAAAATTACAACACACAAGATATGTAGACAAGTGTATTAGAAAAGGAGACCATCACTCTGGCACATTTAATCATATTTTCTATCTCTCCACAACAGAAGCACATATCACACAAGTAAAATTCCTGATTCACCATACAAAATCCCCAAAGTGAAAGTGAAATTGCATACAAATTAATAAGGAGTTACATAAATTAAGGACAAGGATTTACACGACAGATCTGCTTTACTAGGTATCAACATTCAGTCGATTCAACCAAAGCATAAGCTACAATATGTGTGATTGCTCACCCTCAGATCGAAGTTCATTGTAACACACATAAGCTTTGCCATCTTTCAAATCCAGAACATCAGCCAAGAACCATGCTACTTTCAAGTTACCTCCATCTCTCAATACCTAGAAAAGAGAAAATGGTAAAATAGTAAAAAATCATATACAAATATAAGATCAATAAAACATGTCCACCTGCAACATTTCACTACAGTAACAAGGACAAATGCATGCAAACTTTTTTCAAACACACCACTATTTTGGCAAATTTCCATCAAATACAAGTGCACACACATTAGAACTAATAAAGGAATATATTTCAACTATGGCTTACAAATATCAACTTATATTTCAAGTAAAATTCACAAACCTCAACATGGGAACCCTCCCTTATATTGTTATCTTTTGAAGTTTCCCCTGCTTTCTCATGTTCAGTCTGAGTGGTCATGGAAGGTGATCCAAACCCAATCTCCAATTCAGCAGTGACTCCTTTAGTTTTGGTGATATCTGAAGCTTTGCGGCCCTTTTGTCCCTTTTTATCCTTTCCACTCGTAGCAGCAGGACCCAATATGCCATCCGTCGACCTAGAACGATCCTCCATAGATTCTCTGGCCATCTCTCTAAGAGTAGGTGACATTCCATGGCTATCACTTTGCTTTTCCCTCTTGTCTTCTGGAACCTCTTTTGGAAGCCTGGCAGATGAACCAGGATCTTCCACACTACCACCTTTGTCTATGTGTTCTCTAATTGCACCATGCAAAGGAGATCCTTGGCGTACTTTCCAGTATGCCTCTCGGCCTGCTTCTACCAATTCAGTCAATGGGAAAGGCTCACCCAAAGCAACAATCTTTCCAGCCTGTGATACTGCTTCAGCTGCTAGCACAGCAGCTTTAACAATGGCATCCATGTTTTCAGCTCGCTTTGAGGCAGCTGAAGCAGCTTCTACCCTCCTTCTAGCAGCTTCCCTTGCTGCAACAATAACAGAATTTGAACTAGTAGTAGCATCTTCACCCCTCAAGATGGATGCAGGAGTAGCCTTGCCAAGCTTCTTCACACTATCAGAAGCAATCGTATTAGTTGGAATAGAATTTCTGTAGACAACCAATGCCTCATCTGCCATAAATTTTGCTTGTAAGGCAGCATTCGAGGCAACATTGGCAGCTGCAGCTGCAGCCTTTGCAACAGCAGCAGCTGCAGCTATTGCAACAGCTGCAGAAGTCAATTTAGTTTCAACATCTGGTGCCAAACCAGAATTTTTGTGCTTGTCAAACTGATTCCATATTTCTTGACTGTGACTAACAGCAGCAGCAGCAAGAGCAGCAGCATCCTCTGCCTGCTTCTGAGCCTCCTTGATTCTACTAAGGGTCTCCTCAGACTGAGTAGCCCTCTGATCTGAATCTCGGTAGCCCTTTTTGAGATGATCAGCAGAGACGGATGTAATGAATGTGTCAGTGGACGACTTGGAAACAATGGTAGCAGGAGTTGCAATGACTGCAGGTTCAGAGGCATGACCAGTCACAACAGTAGCGGAAAGGGAATCTGTTTGAGCATGCAGTATAATCTGCTCAAGGTCCTCAGAAACTGTAGACTTTTTTCTTTTTCTGGGCTTTGGGGCACCAGAACGCTGACCAGGTGTTACAGTTGCCTTTTTAGCGTCAAGCAAGGGAGCCCCTGCCAAAATATTAGCAGCACTCCCACTCTGGACCATAGGAACTGTGGAAACCTGCTTCATGCCAGAAGAATGAGCCACAGATGCTTCTCTTACAGGAGTCGAATTAACTGTTTCTGTGATAGGAAGCACAGGAAAACGAGCATTGCCATCAAATGCAGAAGTCGGTGGAACCCAAGGGCCACGAAAAGAGGATTGGGACATCCAAGGAGCATTATGTCCAACAAAGTTCCTTGTAGGTGGAGGATGCAATGGAGAAAGTGCCTGCTGATAATCCATAACAGCACCTCTCAGAATGCCAGTATGTTGAAGAGCCTCACCGGAAGGTGTAGGAATACTCCACAGTGGTGATGAAAGGGGGATCATTGGGTTTACAATTGTTGCTGGAGTAACCTTACTGGTGGACCGACTAGCAGGTGAGGATGTAACCTTACTCTGAACTGCATTTTGTTTGGTTGATTGATCAGAAGTCTTAGCACCTGAGCATCTCAACCAAGGCATAACGTTACCAGACAAGAGAATCATAAGAACATAATTCAACAACTTAGAGTCAAGGGAGATACCTATGCGTGTCTGTAATGGAGTTTCAGGGCTAACAAGAGATTTTTGACTATGTACCCTGTCTATACATGCTCGCCAGGCATTCTCCCATATGGTTCTTCCACCATCTGCAGAAAATCAAAATACTGACTAAATCTCTATGAAAAGCTCTGAGCTAACATAGTTAGAGATAAGCAAACCTAACCAGGTCCCCCAAATGCCGATATCATATATGCCTCATCAGGTGCTGTTCCTTGTCTGCAGCAACATTGTTCAAAACAATTACATAGACACGCTCAAACGATCAAAAGTCCTAAAGAAAAATGCAAATACCAGAGACAAATAGGTTTGACAATGATACCAAAGCACATGTACAAAAAATCTCAACACATGCTCCATGCATGCATACATACATACATACATACATATATATGAAAAAAACATGTCACTTAAAAGCAAATATATGCAAAAATGAACAATAGTTACAAAAACTTACATAAGAGCTCCATATACAAAAATCTGAGCACGTAATTGAACTTGTTGCAAATCTATGAAAGGCTGATGAAAAACTGCAGATGAAGAAGCTGAAATGTTCAAGTCTGGCAGACTAGATACTGAAGTAGAAAAAACACCAAATGGTTTCATATTACCACCTTCCATGTGTCCATAGTGCTGCATCTCATTGGATTGCACGAGGTGGCCAATTCCAGCTGAACTGAGAGACACATTACTTGTTCTATCACTTCTTTCCGATTGTCTTGCAAGAGTCATCTCTTTTGCAGCGCTTCCCTTTTTGGCAGCTTCCTTTCTAGTGCTCTTAGCACCTGCTCGCCTTGTTTTACGCTCAGAAGTCCCTTTGGAGCCACCACGCACATTCTCCCTCTCTGATGCCTGAAGATTTGCATGACACGCCTCTTGAGCAGGCATGGCATCCATTTTGCTTATGCCAGAGGTTGATGGAGTTCCCTCCACGACCTTGTTGTATGAAAACAAAGTGAGAGAGCAAGTGAAAGAGAGAGCATAACCAGGATGAAATTATTAAAAAAAAAAAAAAAAAAATTGCACCACAAAAAGTTTCTAAAAATCTTCAGCAAAAAGATACGAATTGGGAAATTATTAGAGCACAAAAAGTTCCACTTAACATAACAAAAGTATCACTTTATTGGAAAACAAAATTTTACCGAGGATATTTTGTCATGTTGTGTGGTAGAAAAAGGTTGCCAATTCTTGCAAGCTTCTTTTTCAGACAAATTTGCCAATGGAGGTACCTCAAAGGTGAAACTTCTGTCCCCTGGAGATATATCATTTCCTTTGGTATCCCGAGAAATAGACTGCTCTTTGTTCACTTCCCCATTAATGACCCCAGATGCTGAAGCACTCTGATCTTTGGATCCTTTCACACCCTCTTTTTCAATTTGACTCTGTGACTGCTCAGAAGTTCTAATGACAATAGGAGAGCCAGAGGAAGGATTGCCAAGATCAGCACTGTTACTTCCACTTTCCATCATGTGAAACTTAGTTTGAGATTCAGATGAAGGCGCAGAAGTAAGGTAGCTATTACGAGTCTTTGCATGATCACCTGCAACATCAAATTAATCCATCAGAAGAATAACATGAAATAATGTGGGAGGGAAAAGGGAAAACAGATGAAATGGTCTCAAAAGAAAATAGGGCCATGAAAGAGGCTAACCATGCAATTGATTTATGGACTGTATCTCCAGAAACAAGAAGACAGTTCATAAATTACCCTTAAATAGGATATAACTTCACAAGCAGTAATTACAAGCAAAAGGAAACACATCCCAATAACCTGAGGGAAGGTGGCAGGGGTGGCAAAAGAAGAAGAAAACAAATCAACTTTTTACCAACACAACAGAAAACAAATCCAAGGTACAAGACTGGGGAGGGTAAAGCAGGAATTCCACCATGACACACTTAAAATATCTAATTACACTTACTTCAGAAAAAAATAAAATGACAAAGAAACTCACCATCAACATGCACAGCAACATGATCACTGATCTTTTCTTCAGAAACTAATTTGGGGTCACTATCTTCAAGATGATTTTGGTCAGTATCATGGGATGATGCCTTTGAAGTTGAAGGCACTGAATTTGTCAAAGTCTTGATGTTCTCTTGAATTGATACAGCACCTGAAGGACATTTTTTTGTTTGCTGACATTAATCCTATGGAGTTTCCAGCAACAGATATGCAAGGGTATATGCTTCATAAAGTATAACAACAATAAGAACTATAATGAGTCAAGAAAACAGCACAATCATCATCACAAAAAATAAAACATTTCAGAAAGAACTAAATGATTCAAGGAAACATCACCTTAATGACAGGGCATGGCGTCATTAAAACAGCCATTTAAATAATTGATCCAGCTATAGCAGACTACCAAATAGAATTCGCATACACACCCCACTGGATTAATATATATGAAATTGCCAACAAGAATGCACTCTATTACATTCAAATTTAAGTTGAAATGATTACTAGCTAAGCCAAATTATCCTATCAATCATAAAAGGTCACCTGCAGCTTCTGAAGAACCCCTTTTAGAAATAACTTGAGCTTCTGCACCTTCAGTCCCTCTCACTGTTGAATCAGAGACAACAGATGATGCTTGCATATCCTTTACAACCTCCAGTGTGACTCTACGAAGTGTCTGGTCTCCAATTTGGCCCTCAGCATTAGAGGTATCCTCCATTGACAAGGACTGATCAACTTTCTTAGAAGAGAACTGTCCAATGGTCTTGCAAGGTGCTTCTGAAGTCTTCATGATTGAAAAACTTGCTTCTGAGGATGACACTTGAACCTCTTTCTGATCAAAAACAGCATCAACAGGAAGACCCTTACCAAAAGGCAAAGGAACACAATCCACTGTACCACAGGAACACCAAGTTAGCACATGATGCATGATAGGTAAAAGAACGCAAAACAAAAGGAAGAAAAAGCTCAGTTATAAGAATTAATTCTTCAAAATGTACATACTTGACTTGCCACTGACAGCAACATCAGATTGTAAATTTGAAGCTAACTCATTTACAGTGCCACCCATGGCAAAGGATGAGGAATCAACCCCCTTTATTACAAGTGGAGATCTATCATACCCACAAACTGTGTTACTACAATCAGAAGGCAATTTGGTGTTCTGCTTTGCAGCAGCTGAAACACTCTGATCACATTTATAATCATCATGACGTTCAGTGACTATATATTCTTCACATACTCTCACAGTTTCTGCTTCCAAAGTATTGCTGGCACCTTCACCTTCATCCTTAAAACTTTTACCATCTTCCGCTAACAACAAAGATTTCTCAGACTTGCTGCTCAAGATTTTCATATCAGGGTGGCAAACACTTCCTGTCAAATTCTTCTTCTCAACAGCATCACAAGCTACATGCACCATTGATTCCATCTTTGACTCTAGGCTCGTACAAATTCTAATATCAGTATTGCTGATCTCAACTTCATGCTCCTTGAGGTTGGTATTACCATCAAAAGGCATTGGTGATATGTCATGTAAATTTCCTTCACACAAAACAATGTCTTTGGATATGCCAGTCTGCAGAGGGATTTCTAAACCCAAGCCCTCACTGCACCCTTCCACCGTGTGGAGGTCAGATTTCCCTTTCAATATCCCATCAAAAGGCTCACCCACAGTAGCTGTGCTATTTCCAATAGCACGTCCACCTTCCTTAGGTTGCATGTCCAAGGGTGACTGCTTCTGTGCCTGCGAGGTAATGCTTGCAACTGCATTTTCAATCAAGTTCTCAGCATCAATGTGAACTGCTTGGCTCAAATCAACATTTTCCCTCTCTAAACTGTCCACATTTTCATCAATGACATCATTTTTCAAATGTGTGGTATCTTGACTAGCTATCAAAGCACTACTTGCAGAGGTGTTTCGCACAGCAGGAATCACAGTATCAACTTGTGACCCAGAAGCAAAGTTATCTTGTTCCCTGTTATCCACAGATTGACCAGTTGAAGCTTCCACTAGATTATCATCAACAACTTGTTCACCATCTTTAGACTTGTCTCTCTGAGTTACAGGTAAGTCACTATTTCTGGTATTTGGATCTTTGAATACCCCATCAACAGATGGGACAAATTCAAGTGTCTGAGAAACATCTTCAACCAGCCGATGATCTCCTCCTACGTCAACTTCCAACCCAGAAAATTTCACTGGAACCTCACCTGTCTGTAAGGTAGGCTGTAAGTTATCCCCTACTTTAGAAAGAGCACTATCTTCGTGTTTCAAACTAGGCTCCATCTGATATATTATGCAGCCCAGTTCATCACAGGCATCAGAATCCTTAGTAATTGTTTGACAAGGAATAGTTTCTTCCTGTCCGACAGATTTTAATAGCATTTCAACAGATTCTGAGGAGGCTGCCTCAGACCATACATTGTTGCCCCTAGAAATTGAACAAGGTTCTGCTGCACTTGAACTAAATGCAATCCCAGTACTCCCCCGTGAAAAATCTTCAATCCACTGATTATCTTCGCTACTTTCAATGCCCAGAAAAACTTCAGTTTCAGCCAAACTATCAAATCTTAACTGCCCATGAAGATTATCATCAAAATCAAATCTTGGGAGAGAATATGGAACAGGAGGAAATTTATTGTTCCCTTCACCAGCTAAATGAAGATTCTGGCTTTGGAAATCATTGTCATCATAATCCATGGGTGTATTCCTACAATAGAAAATGTTAAGAAGAATAAAATGGGTAGTCAAAATGCAGTTCAAATAAAACAAGATAAAGTGATTTGGCCTCTGAGTTTTAAGAACATCCTGCCACAGTATGAATTGCATAGGAAAGGTGCAAATTTTAGAAACTTTCTCCATTACCAAGCTAACTACTTCTAATAGAGTTGAATACTAATTCACAGTTCAAGGAACAATGAAATCAAATGAACTAATTAATAAGAAGCATGGAAAAGATGCCACCTGTTCACATTGCATTGACCGATGTCATTAGGAAAAAGGACAATAAGAATAAATAAGCAACAAAACTAAAAAAGCATAAATGGGGAGTACAAATTCTTTTATCTTTCCTGGTTAAACTACATTTACTAATTTTGAAGCATCCAAAGTCAACTTAAAAAGGAAAAATGTCAGAAAAAATTTATTTGCAATAAACATGCACAAAAAACACAAAATTTAACAGTTAAAACTTCACATCACATCAATTAAACAGAAACAACCCATTTAGGATTACCTAAGTTGCTGGAACTACAATTACATAACTATATGGGGAGAAAAAGCTTATGCATTTCCATAATTAACTCCCTAGTCCCCAGTATGAGGTTAATCTGAACCTAGAATATGCCAGCACTTTGATCCTATCGTTTTTTCCAACAATGAACATGGGTTCTCTGAAACTATTTAGTACGAGGAAGTCCTGGCAACTGCTCATAAATTCATTGGCAAATAAGACTTGGAGGTTTCAGCTTTATGAGTAGCAAAGGCGGAAAAATGTCAACTTGGTTAATCCAATGCAAGCTTAATGTAAAAATTCAAACATAAATCAATTTAAATTAACATTAGATCATGTTAAAAACTGAAATCTTTGGACAACTAGCGGTTGTGTTTTGGCTATGTCAGAATTAAGAATACGGATTATAATTCTATACAGTCATAATGAAGTTCCAAAGTTTCACAAGGAGGTCAACATAATTGCCATGTGTCCAATATAAGGAACTCAGGGTGTGTTTGGTGTGTATAAGATTATGATAAGATAAGATAAGATAAGATAAGATAATATTATGAATGTGATTAGATTAAATAATATCATCATATTTTGTGTTTGCTATATGCAAGGATTATGATAGGATAATTTATTTATTTGTCAAAATTATCCTTCCTCAAAGTTTATACAATTTAAATTATTGACGTAGTTTTTAAGGGTGTAATTGGGCATGTAAGTTTAATCCCATGGATTAAAAATAATCCTCTCCACTTGGGGAGGATTGAATCATCCTTGCAATTCCATCCCTTGTTTAGATACAAACCAAACATGATAAAGGATGATTATCATCTTATGCACCACACCTGACCTCAACACTAAAGTATTAGGTTAAGATATTTAGTTGAATGGAAACTCGCAATTATAGACTCACCTGTGGAATTTGAAAACTCTACTGCAATGTACAAGATAATAATCCTTAAGAATAAAAATAAACATGTACCTTTCTTCCTGAACTTATCAATTAGTTGCACTCAGATATCAATACCACTAACTAACTTCCAACAAACCTAGCTCAAACCGCTACTAATTAACTGTGAATTGAACGAAAAAAAAAAAAAAGGCTCTAGATCACACACATTAACTATTAGAAAATTATTAAATGAAAAGAAACCAGTATGACATAAGTGACCGAGCTACAGCCAAACTTTAAAAGTGCAGAAAAGAACTTAGTTCCAATCTAATTAACCAGAAAACAACAAAATTTAATTTTAAACTTTAAATTACACAAAACTCACCATTTCAAGAAGATAACTGTTTTAAAGCTCTAATTAAACATGAAAAAACGAAAACCCTAAAAAATAATTAGTTTATTAAAAAATCAAGTAGGAATATGAACAGTTACCAGAGCAAGTAAGTCTAGAGATGCTACCTCCCTCCATCCGTTGATGAAATCCCAGGCCGTTTGATCTCAGCTCCTCCCTAATCGTACGGTCATCTACTGCACCACAAAACTCCAATTCACGCAACGCCACTTTAACCAGACCATAACACCAACAACAACAACAAGAAGGAACCAAACTATGAACAAAGGGAAAACCAAAAGATAGATGATAAAAAGAAAACGAAAAAGAATATTTGTTTGAATAAAACCTAAACCAACGGAGGAGTAAATTAATTGACGAATTAATTAGTAACTACAACTCACCGGAATCTTGAATTCTCCGGCGGATTGAGTTAGGGTTCCGGTGAATCGAAGAAAAAACGAAGTCAGTGAAAGAAAAGAGCGAGGGAAACGAAGAGAGAGAAAGAGAAAGGGATATTTTTATGATGTGTAATAAGGAGAGGGTTTTGGGTTCTTTTTCTCGCTATGGAAACGAGAAAATGATAAAAACGAGTGATGGTGATCGTACAGGCCTTCAATGTTTCGAAAAGTGACATGTAGCCTCTTCGTATACGTCAATAATGCGACAAGAATAATGTTAACAGTACCGTGACTCTTCGTTTCTTTTGCGACAGACGAGTTCCTTGCGGTTCGATTCAAAGCACGTGTGGAAAAATTGACGGTGAAGATGGGAACAGTGATCGGTGAAATTTGACGGAGGAATGGTTGACAGTTCTTTCATTTAAAAACAAGTTGAAAATTTCGGAGTCATATCTAGTAAGAACACGTGGCAGAAGAAGGGTCCGTCAAGTAGGAGACGCATATATATTATATCTACGGTCTGAAAATTTTCTGTATTTTGTTACCAATACTTTTGGACCGTTTAATCAGATTAATCAGTCCAGCACTGCATATTATTAGGTTATGAAAGCAAGTAAGCAACACGACATCTGTCGCCAAAAGGTAACTTTTGCAAACGGTAATTGGTAAAAAGTGAAAACCGGTTTCAGACCAAAATTAAATTAAAAAACAAAAAGTAAAAACCGGTCATTGAAGACTAATAAAAATTTTTAAAATAATATATCCGACTTAGAATGAATGAAATAGAAAGAAAATGAAATTTATGTTTTGGCGGAATAGAATTTAATTTTTTTTATTAAATTTTAATCATTAGAATAAAATAGAGGAATAATTAGTGTTATTATATTATATATTTGATTAATTCAAAAATATGATTGGAATAAGTTTAAAATATTATTTTTTTTTCATATAATTTATTATAAAAATTATTATTTGAAATGAATAAAAAATAATAAATTAATATAAAAATAAATATTTTAATATTAAATTAATATTATTAAATATTAATATTTATTTAATAATATTAATTATTAATTTATTAATAAAACGCTAAAACCAATTGAAAAAAGTATGATATGGTATTATATGTAATAAAAATATCATGATACAATAAGAAAAAAAACAAAATTAAAAATAATTGGATTATTTGACATTATATTTTATAGAGAATGTCATGATAAAGTAAAAAAAAAATAAAATCTTGGATTATGCGACATTATATTTTATAAAAAATTTGATAAAAAATAAATAAATAAAAATTCAAACTTTAGCTTCATGGCTTTTTCTTGTCATATTTTTTTTCAAAATTATTCTTTGAACTGTAAAATAGTTTCTTAAACAAATTTCCGCTTAATATTTTTTTAATTGCTTCAAAATTTAAAATATGATGGTAAATTTGTTCCAAAAAATTGAATGTATGATTATAAAATTGTAACACTTTAAATATTGATGATAAATTTGAATCACCTTGCATAAGTATAACGAATAAATTATTATTATTATTTTTTTAAGCATGAAAGCTCTCTTTTGAACTTAATATCTATGGAAATGCCTTTGCATTCAATTTCACAGTTGTCTTTAATTAAAAAGAGAAACTTAATAAATGCTTTACTTACTCTTTAGAAAATTACTTGTTTGGCAAGTAAATTTGAACTTAAATCAGCAAGATCATATTTATAGGGTTCGATAATAGAGTTTTGTTAGGTTCCCAAATAAAACCGTGTCATTAAAGTCATTGACTCTTTAGGATTACTAGTACAAAAGAAAATTTTAGTATGTAATGTATTATTCCGGTAAATTAAAATATATATAAATTAGGGATTAATGATATATTAAATTTAAATAAAAAATAAACTTAAACCAAAATTAGTTTTTTTTTTTTTTGACTTCTTAATACTTAATTATGGTTTTTAAGGTATAACACGATTTTTTTTTACATGATGAATTGGCTTAAAAAAGATCAAATGTTAAAAATTAAGTTTCAGTATTGCTAAAATCTATCTTCAAGCCGTTTAATCTAATTATTAAAAGTTATTTAGTTTCCATCTATAAATGTGTACTGTAATATTGTGCATTGTGTGTGTGTTTTTTTTTTCAAGATATAAATAATAATAAGTCAAGTCAAAATATATTTTTATTTGTCTCGAATTTGATTTAATTTTATATTTATAATATTTGAATTCGATTTGATATAATAAAATGTTTTATTTTTTTTAATATCTGCATTCAATTCAATTTTGTATAAAATCATATTTAATCTTACTCGACTCAAAATTAATAAAATATTATTTTTTAAAATATAAAATTAAATAAATATAAATATATAATTAAATAAATAATTAAAAAATAATTATATATATACAAAGTAAGACGATTTACCTAAAACTCAATCCTGATTTTTTTTATTATTATTCTATTCGATCTAAAATTTGATATTAAAAAAAAAATCAATCTTAATAAATCAAATAAAAAACCGTTAAAGACGAATTAAGCTATCATTCATAATTCATGAAAAGACATAATTCTTTCAAAAAAGAAAGGAAAAAAAGAAAAAATCTTAGACTTGAAATAAATAATTCTATATTCTCCTAAAGCCTTCTTAACCACTTAAATTAAGAGGCTGATGATTGTGGATTGTGTTTTGAGAAAATAAATTAAAATGAAATTACTTGAATAAAAAAAAAAAAGGAGGTGGGCTTGGAAAGGATGAGCAAGGTTTTGTTTCCGCGTACTTCAATTGAAGCAAAGATTAGGCCCAATAATAGATGGGATTTAACAATTTCAATGACACACTATTGAGAAGGCCGTGTTCGATCCAATGAGTCGCGTCTGGGAACATAACATGCGTCAATGTATGGTTCCCAAGTTGCAGATTACGCTGCGAAAGTTCCAAAGTAACTCTGTAGAGCAGCAGCTTGATAAGTTTATTAGGTTATTGCTTGGGCCTCTAGCATCCTAATTCATCATTTGGTTGATTTGACGGAGAATTTATTCTTTGAAAGTGGCTTTTGGTTTTAAATCTTTGGTTAGTCTCGAGGAGATCAAGTCTCTGTTTGGATGGTTGATTGATTGAGATAAATTAAAAAAAAAAAATTTATTGTAGTTGTGATTTTAAAAAATTATTGTAGCTAAAAAATTAATAAAAAAAAATATATGTTATTAAAGTTAACATTTAAATTTAACTGATAATAAGATGAATCCAAATTGACATAAAACTCTTGAGTAATTATGTGAGAAATTTTTTCTTTGAATGAGGTTATATCTGTACATGTAAAAAATTAGCATGCAGACAACATTTCATGTGAAACAACATTATGCTGTTTGTTCTTAATATCCTTTTCCCTTAATTTCCCTTATCTGGTTTCTCGTTTCAATATTAACAATATTAACACGGGGATAAAAGCTCGACTGGTGTTAGTCATATCATAGTTGATGAGGTACATGAACGGTCTTCTCTGGTAAGTGGATGAATTTGAAGTTCAACTACGGTTAGTGCAACAAAATATCTCGTCTGGAAGTTGTTGACATCATTCGTAACAATAACAAGTTCTTGCCATTCAGAGCAAAAAATTGCAAGTTCATCCTGATGGGGGCAAGTGCGCGGGGGAGGAGCAATCTGTCCATACCTACAAGCGAAATGGCTGGTCAATACTAAATTATTTTTCTGAGGGTGCAGCCGTATCGGCTTCTACAATTTCCAATCAATAATGAAATATAAGAGCCCAACTTTGCTAAATGAAACTGAATTGTTTCTTTTTCCCTAACAGGGTATTTTCTTACTCATTGTTTTGAAGAACCTGATTGAGAAGCAATCTGCCCATAACAAAACCAAACAGAAAGTTATTCTTACGTATGTGTGCATGTATTACTCATCACTCATGGTTGTCAGGTTATGTAAACTTGTCTTGACCTCCATCCCGGCCTACTTTGCTTTTTCTCCTGGTTTTTGACTAATGCTCTAAATGTTTTGGTCTGCAACGGTTGATTCTGATTTACTTTTGAGATATTTTGGGATTTGCCCGGTGATTACTGCACAAGGCCGGACACATCCAGCGACAACTTGCTTTCTTGAGGATACATATATGAAAGTATCAATTATCACCTTGCTTCAGATTGTCCTGCATCTCTAAGAAACTTCCACAAAGTATCAATTATCATTTTTATTGAGTGTTAGCCAACTGATTCTGGAACTTGGAACTGGAACAAAATAAAAAATAAATGTGTTAACTATGTAATGAGGCTGCACTTATAAAATTAGCTTGATATAGGAATTTCTTCTCATTGTCAACACAATTTTTTAGCTAACATTTGCATTTTAAGCATAACGTTCAAAATTGCGATTTAGATCACCTGTTTGATATTTTGATGATTTATGAGTATGTTATGAAGTGCTATTCTTGGTTTCTGTCATACAAGTTATGAAGTTTTGCATTCTGCCACAGAGCAATCCTGTGAACAATAGTCGAGGTAAAGAAAAATTTTGTCTGCATGGCGTGATGATTCCCTGCTTTTGAAGGACTATATAAATCCACAATAGCTACCATTCCTTTTGAGATCCCACGTTGAACGGAAGGAAATATATCATATTTGTCATGGCACTCTATCTAGGGAGTCAAAGTTGGCAAGTCAGTGCGACATTTGGTTCTACCTTTCCCACCCTCCATGCTGCAGGGCCTACCGGGTGATTAAGGGTAGTTGATTTAGATATTTATCAAATTGCTTACCTAAAATATCCCAGTAAAACCATGTTACAATACATCAAATCATGATTAAAACCACATTACTGCATCTTATTCTGTGCATAATTCTATATTATCTTTGAAGGAAATATTGTTCAGTTTTATATCCTACTGTGGCTGCCACTGAGCTGGGACATTCCTCGAGTAGCTCTCAGCAGACTTAAACACAGTCCTGGAACAAAGAGTCACCAAGACTGGTATGATGGAAGGCGAGAGGTTTATGCACCCTTCTTCAATCAACGGTAGCTTCAAATCCTTTCAACATCCATTTCTTATCCTCCATGAACAGGTAAAGTAGACTTCTAGCTAATGGATTTAAATTCAGTTCTCTTTTCTCCCCTGAATTTTCTTCTTTCTTCAATTTGTGATTACTACTTATTCATACAGATGGGGTTGACAAACCATTGCATGGTCATTTCCCAGGGAGCGATAGAACTAGCCTAA